CAGGGTGCATGGCAGACCCATCCTGAGGAGTGAGGGGCAGCCGGGGAGATACACAAAAAGCCATCCCCACGGCTGGGGAGGCTGAGGCAGGAGGATCGTGAGTTGGAGGCCAGTCTCAGCAAAAGCAAGAACCTAAGCAAATCAGCGAGACCCTGAACTCCCAGTACAATCCCTGGTACTCCCCCCCCAAAAAAAAAGCCATCACAAAGTCATCTCAGGGACCACCATGGAAACCACACCCCGCCCCCCATTTAGTTGTGCAGTGAGCAACCTTCCCATCTGTACATGGGACCCACCATGAGGATGGAGTCAGAGGATGCCTCCTTTCTTAAGGACAGCAGGGACACAGGGGTCCAGAGAGCAGCCTGGGAGCCCGAATCCTGTCCCTCCCACCTCCTGGCTCTGTGGCCTCAGGCCTGCAGCGCCCATTATGAATGACACCAGGCCACCCCTCCTCGTGGCTGCGACCTGTTTTAAATCTCCACCCTCGAGCGACAGAAGGGGTTCTTTCTGGAAGGATCCTCRGGCCACTCTGGAACAGGATGTTCCGCTGCAGGGAACAAAGGCGCCTGTGTTTGAGGGTGAGGCAAGGAGACTTCTAGGAAGGCAGCCACACTTCCCAGAGGCTGAGACGGGAAGGGGACAGCTGCTGGTGTCCCAGGCAGTGTGGGTGTCAGGTCCTGCCCCAGAGGGGACAGAGAGAGACCCGGGGACGGACAGAGACCCGGGGACAGACAGAGACCCGGGGAAAGACAGAGACCCGGGGACGGACAGGGCAGGAGGAAGGCAGGCTGAGCACCTGGGCAAGACGGCCACTTCGTGGGGACAGACGGTTACGGTGTGGGGCAGCAGAGGGGCCGGAGCAGGAGCCAGCCAGGAAGAGAAAGTTTGTCCCCTCACCAGGGGACCAGGAAGCCAAGCAGCACCCCGGGAGAAGGTGAGCAGAGGGCTGGAGAGCGGCCCCAAGTCTAAGGTGGGCAGGGGACAGCCAGGTCTGGTGGAGCTCTGGGTCAGCCCCTTGTTAGCTGGGGGACGGTGGAGAAGTGAACTGACCATTCTGTGCCTCCATTTCCTCTGACAAATGGGGTCACTGACCCCAACCTCAGGGACTCTTTTTTTTGGGGGGGGGTACCAGGGATTGAATCCAGGGTCCCTTGACCCCTGAGCCCCGTCCCCAACCCTGTCTTGTGCCTTATTTAGAGACRGGGTCTTCCTGAGTTGGTCAGGGTCTGCTCAGTGGCTGAGGCTGGCCTCTAACTTGAGATCCTCCTGCCTCAGCCTCCCGAGCCACTGGGATGACAGGCGTGGGCCACGTGCCCGGCTGCTCACGGACTCATTTTGACAACCGATGAGCTCTTTTCCCCTGGGARGCAGCACCCTGGGTGGGGGCGCAGATGCGGGGTCCCCAGAGAACCAGCGTGGGCTGAGGTGTGCCCGCCTGGCGTGTGCCCCGAACGCACGCTCACGAGCCACACCCTGGGGCCGTGTGACACAGTGCCCGTGCTCAGCGCCACCATCTGTGGCAAATGGGTTGGCACCACTCTCGACAGGAGGTGACGGGTCCCCTGTGGAGGGGTGGGGCAGGCGAGGGACCGGGTGGAGGGGACCCTGATTCTCAGCAGCAGCTCCTGGTCCATGAATATGACATGATCCTGGTCACCTCGGTCCTGTCCATGCTGGGCTGTCCCCAAAGCTGGGTCCATTCCCATCRGAGAGCTATAGGCCTCCCTTTTGGAGACGGTCACCACATTGAAGAGACTCAAGCCTCTTGGGGTCAACCCAGGAGGCCAGGACCCCTGCAGTCAGCCTGGGTCTCCCGGAGGGTCACAGAAATGTCCCTCCCCAGGGGTGGGGACCCTCAGCTCCCCGTGGGACAGCCTTTGCCATGTTGGGACACCACAGAGGACAGACCTGCTCCATGGAGAAGTCACAGAGGCCCAGGAGGGGGTCCTGGCAGCCTGTCCCTGCTGGTGTCCCCAGGCCAGTGTCCTTCCCTGTGGAGGGGTCCTGGGCTGGGGGTCAGCTCTGGGGTCACAAGGTATTGGAGATAATCCCCCCAGTCCACCCGGGCGCTCGGCCCCGGAGCCCCAACCCGGCCCTGGGCTGCATTTGACTCAGAGACGGGGACTCGCTGACCTGCGAGCACCTAAGTGGCTGAGGCTGGCCTCTACCTGGCATCCTCCTGCCTCAGCCTCCTGAGCAGCTGGGGCGACAGGCCCGGCTCAACCTCCACCCTTGCCCACCTGCTGCCTCGGGGACCTCCTCGCTTGCAAGGGTGACCATCGGCCTCCGGGGACACATGCAATGGCTAAGGCCCCACCTGCTCTCAGGACTGGTACCCAGCCAAGAGGACCAAAGCCGCAGAGCTGGCTGGGGCCACGGCCACCGGCCACAACACAGCAGGTCACACGGCAGAGGGACACCGAGACACCTATCKCGGGACCCGCGCACGCACAGCCACGCGTCCATCTGCCAGGTCTGGCTCTGGGGCACTCCGCGCATGCGTGCGGGTGAGGGGGGTGTCAGTGGCTCATTCGCTGTCCCCAGGTGAGTGTCCTACACTGTGGAGGACCCTGCCCGGCACCCCTGGGGACCGAGCTCCAGGTGGACCTCCCCAAAAGGGGGAGGGGGACACGTGGGGTCCCCTGTGCCTCTGGCACCCACCACAGCCTCCTGAGCACAGCCCGACCTTGGGGGGCTGGTTTCCCCCGACACCACGCAGGGCAGAGCCTGGGGGGACTGGCCACCTGGAGCCCAGCATTGGCCAGGCCTGTCCCCCACCCTGGGTGGCTTCTCAACTATGCTGTGAGGAAGCTGGTCCCCAGGCTAAGTGGGAGCACTGAGTGGGACTCCTCTCCCTCTCTGTCCCCTCTCTCCCCCTCTCTCTCCTTCTCTCTCTCTCTTTTGGTCCCAGGGATTGAACCCCAGGTCCCTTGACCCCTGAGCCCCGTCCCCAGCCCTTTTCAGATTTTATTTAGAGACAGGGGCTCCCTGAGTGGCTTAGGGACTCACTCCGTGGCTGAGGCTGGCCTCCAACACGCGATCCTCCTGCCTCAGCCTCCCGAGCTGCTGGGCACCCTGGCACCTGGCTGAGATGCGGCTTCCCTCAATCAGTCCCCTGGGTTCCCATCGTGCTGGGCAGGGTCCCTGGCTCACCCAACCTCGAGCTCAGATGTCAGCTGGGGGTCAAGGTGGTCCTTAAGCCAAGCCTCTAGCCCCAGCCTCCATCCRTCCCATTCAAGGGTCCTGATTAGCCCAAGTGCCCTTCTGATGTGTCCTAGCCCCTGCCAGGTCACCCTCTTCTGGATTGGGGACCCAGCGGGGGTCCCTGCCTGCCTTACCTGGTCATTATGAACGGGACACTCTCCGCTTTAGTTGTGGGACCAGCGAGTCTCCGGGTGGCTGTGTCGTTCTGGCCCCGCCCCTTCCCGCCCCTCGTCCCCTTCCTAATGGGCCTGTGGGCCCCGTGGCCTGTCCCCTCTATACTGACCTCCAGCCGCAGCCGGGCCAGGTGCAGGCGAAGGGCTTCTCCCCGGTGTGCCGGCGCAGGTGTGCCTTGAGGTGGCTGCTCTTGGTGTACATCTTGTGACACCCAGGGAAGGTGCACTTGTGCATCTTGAGGAGGTCGGCCGCCGGGCTCTTGGGGAACTTCTGTCCCCCCAGCAGGCCGGGCCCGGGCCCCAGCGCCCCGGACCCCGCGGGCTTGGCGGCGATGGGCACGGGGGCGATGCGCACGAACTTGGAGGGCAGGCTCAGGCTGGAGGAGGGCAGCACCTGGGGGACCAGGGCGAACGTCTGGCCCTGGATGTTGACCAGCAGCTGGGCCACCTTGACGTTCTCGGGGGCCTGGCCAGGGGAGGCCGGCCCYGCGCCCGGCTCCTGCTTCACGGGCACCGGCTGGATCTGCAGCAGGACCGGCACTGCGCCCTCGGCGGAGGGGCCCTCGGCGGCGCTCTGCGCGCTCGCGCCCCCGGGCGCAGGGGCACCGCGCTCTCTCCCGCCAGGGCCCGCGTGCGSGTGGCTCCTGAGGGGCCCCGTGGGGAGCTGGCCACAGGCCCCCGAGTCCTGGCCGCTGCCCTGGGGGGCCCCCTTGGCCTCCGGCTCCATGTTCTCCTCCAGAAACTCCTGGATCTCCTCCAGGGTGGGTTGGAAGGGCCTGGCCACCTCCTCGGGGTCCCCCAGCGCGAACTCTGGGAAGCAAATGTGCTCCCCCTTCAAGGGCACCGGGGCCCTCCGCCACGTCCCCCAGGTCACAGGGCCACTGCTGTCCCCCAGGCTCCCGCTGCCACCGCCGCCACCACCGCCGCCCAGGGTGGCCTGGGAGAGCAAGAAATCCAAGATGCTGTCCTGTCCCTCGGCACCGGGGCCACCGCCGTAGCAGGAGCAGAGGGACTGGGAGTCGGGGCTGGCGCAGGAGCAGGGGCTGGACACGTCACTGTCGTCCTCGGAAAGGGGCGAGGGCAGCATGTGGTAGAGCCGCCGGCCGGCCAGCCTGTCCCCCAGGTACCCCACGGGGCACTTGGGCGACGAGAAGGTCTCGTCCACCGGCAGCAGGTGGTCCACCATGCTGGCCGGGCCGCGCTGGTGGCCGCTGTGAAGGAGAAAAGAGAGTCAGAACAGTGGCTCGCGGCCCCTGGCGGGGCTTGTCCCCACCCTGGGTCGCCTGCCCGGCTCCCAGCTGCCGAATGCCAGGCTCCTGCCTCACCCCCAGGGACAGGGGCCTGCAAGAGCGTCCTCTGAAACGCTGCCACAGAGTTTGCAAAAGAGCCCTCGGAGCCCGTTGCACAACCGGGCCGTTCTGGTTCCAGACGGAATTTTCCAGAAAGATCCTGGAAAAGAGTCCACGTGCCTTGGTGCGGGAAGAACCACGTTGGAGGGGACGCCATCAGGGGCTCTGGGTCCCCCCAGAACGGCCAGGACTCGGAGGGTCACTGCCCATGGTAGGACCTGAACCTCAGTGTCACCTCTGTTGAGTCACAGGAGGGGGGATGGGACGGGGGCCACTTGCTCTCTGACCCCAAGCCGTTGGGCTTCCGTGGGTTGCCAGATCCAGCGAATAAAAACGCAAGGTGCCCATCAGGCGTCCACTTCAGATTTTTTTTTTAAATCATCTACTTTATAAAAGTTGTTTTTAAATATGACTCCAGCTGATATTTAGTTTATTTTATTTTTTGGTACCAGGGACTGACCCAAGGGGTGCTTCACCCCTGAGCCCCGTCCCCAGCTCTTTTTTCTATTTTATTGAGACACAGGGTCTCCCTGAGTGGCTCAGGGCCTCACTAAGTGGCTGAGGCTGGCCTCCCACTTGCGATCCTCCTGCCCCAGCCTCCCCAGCTGCTGGGATGACAGGCGTGGGCCACCGTCCCGGGCGGGGGTCTATTTTTAACTGGGAAAACTGTGGTTTGGAGGCAGAAAAGTTCAAGGACATAAGTGCCTGTCCTCAGAGGGCTCAGTTTCCCCATCTGATTGTCATGCCCCACCCCTCGGGCGGTGATGCGTTTGCCCAAGATCCCACGGCACCCAATGCGTGTGGCCGCCTCAATCCCCCAACCATCCCGAGGGTCACAAGTCGGGACCCYGTTGGCCAATTGGGACGCACTCTCCTGCCTTACACCCCCATGGCCCCTTCAGTCCCCACCTGGGACACTCACCACCTTGGGGACGCTCGGCTAATGCCCGTCTTCCCACTAGACAGTGCGCTCCATGTGTCCCCAGTCCCCAGTGTGACACCCAGCGCCCAGGAGGGGCTCAGAAGATGTYCGTGGAGAGGAGAGGGGGACAGTGTGTTCTCTGAAGCCAAAGGCCATGCTAGTCCCGTGTTCMAGGAGAGTCAACAGTGGGTCTGCCTGCAATAGGGCCACCTTTCTGGACCTTTGTCCCCACCCAGTGACCACAGCGGGCTGGGTGTTTATCCAGGTTGGGGAAAGGGAGAGTGTTTGGCATTGGGAGCCAGGGCGTCTCTGGAACCTGGTGTCACCTCTGTGCCCACCCCTCCTTCCTCTTTTTTTTGTGGGGTGGTGGTTGATACCAGGGATTGAACCCAGGGGCCCTCGACCCCTGAGCCCCGTCCCCAGCCCTATTTGGTATTTTATTGAGAGTCAGGGCCTCCCTGAGTGGCTCAGGGCCTCACTTTGGCTGAGGCTGGCTTTGGACTCKCAATCCTCCTGCCTCGGCCTCCCGARCCCCAAGGAAGCAACAGCCTGCTCTGAGCCCTGAGCACCATGGACCAGGAGGATGGATGGCATTTAGGGCTTCAGTCCTCGGCTACRGGTTTTTTATTGGGAGTGTTTTAGAAAACACACCCAGGGCTGGGGACGGAGCTCAGCAGGACAGCACCCCAAAATAAAGAAGTTGAATACACTCGAGTCACCAAATCAGGTGCTGGGAGGAATGAAGGGGCCAGATGATTCCAAGAGCAATKCGAGGCTGTGGGCAGAGCCCACGTGCCACCCGAGAGTCCCCGCCTGTGTCACCACCCTCCAGGCAGGATCCACACTCCTTGGATCAGCTGGTCTCAGCTGGGCTACCTCAGGCAGGCAGCACGACTTCTCTGGGTCTGTCTCTTGACCTGGGCCAGCAATGCTGGAGCAGTCCAGGAGCCCAACACTTAGGACAGGGTCAGGGGCACAATCAGGGCCACAAGCAGCCATGAAGGTGGCCCTCAAATGAATGAGCACCTGGGAGTCCCCCTCCCCCACACCCGCCCTCTGCTGGGATGCTAAGGAATCTGGGGACTCCAGCCTCCCTGGGATCCAACAGGTTGCTTCAAACCTCCCCTGAAATGTGACCACCAACCAGAGGTTCCACCATATTAAACAATGACTGCTGCTGCTGGGCGCGGTGGCCCACACCTGTCATCTCAGCGGYTCCGGAGGCTGAGGCAGGAGGATCGCAAGTTCCAAGCCAGCCTCAGCCAAAGGGAGGCCCTGAGCAACTCAGGGAGACCCTGTCTCTCAATAAAATACCAAATAGGGCTGGGGTTAAGCGCCCTGAGCTCAGAAGCCACTGGGTCACATCATCCCGTTTTATACTGTCCCTAGCAGGTGCCACAGTGGTGAATGGTCTTGGTGGTGTGTATGTGGAGTCCTTTCCTGTGGACCTCCCCACCAGAATATAAGCTCTTTGGACCGCCAGGCAGGGCCATGCCCCAGGGTTGGCTGGATGAGGCTGAGTGGGGAAGCCAGGTAGATGGCAGGGTCTGAAGACCAGCCTGAGTGTCCCTGCAGCAGGACAGGGCAGGATTTGGGGAGCCCAGAAGGGGCTCTGGGACTTCCCCGAGGTGCAGGCATTAAAAAAAAAGGGAGTATTCGGGCTGGGGCGGGCTCTGGTCCCTAAAAAACACCAGCACGTGGCGCAGGCTGCATGCAGGGGGAGGGGACGCGCTGTTCCGGGCACAGTCCCCGGGCTGGCCGCTGGACTCCGCCCCCTCCCTCCCGGGCCAGGCCTGCTGTTTATCCTCCCGGGGACACAGCGGCTGCAGGAACAACATGTAATTGATAACAAGCCCAGCGCGCGCCAAGGGCTCGCCATTGGGTCAGCGAGCAAATCACGGGGGTGGCGGGTGGGGGCCGCCTTTCAAAATAAGAGTCTCTGCTCCCTGCGCTGCCCACAGGCCCTCAAGTCGCCTTGTCCCGCTGTTTTAAGCACCTGTAGATGGTGAGGGCCACCGGGTTCTTGGGAGGGAAGACTTTGGGGGCATTTCTTGGGACCAACMAGGAAAGAAAACACTTCTTGGAGGTGGAGGAGGGGGGTGGAGTCCCTGGGTAACACCACAGTGGGGAGGGAAGAGGGAACAGGACGGCTGTATTGGGTAGGGATGGCATTTCCTCTGTCCCCTGGGCTGCCACCTCAGCCACCTCTCTGGTAATGTTGGAAGGGACCCCCCCCCGGACTCCGTGGGGGTGCAGATGGGGGTCTAAGCCGCGTGGCCTTGCGCAAAGGGGGTGTGGGTGTGTGTCGTGTGACTGCGTGTGCGGGGCGTTGTGCGCGGCAGCCGAGGTGGCGGCGCGGGTGTCCGCGCGCATGGGGTCAGCGTGGGTGTCCACTCGCGCGGGGGACGGCGCTTGGGGACGCGAGGCGCAGGGAGTCGGCCCGGACCCCTCCGCCGAGCCCGGGAGCGCTGCCCGCTGGGCACCATGCCCTCGGCCTGTGCCACCCCCTCCCCGCGCTGCCCCGCTGCTGGTGACCGATAGTAACCCCTGGGCCACCAGCCCCTCCGCCCCCCCCCACCCCCCCAACCGCGGGCGGCCAGCGCCCCTGCCCGCTCCCCSGGGCCAGGCCCCGCCGCGCCCCACCATATGGGAGGGCTGTCCCGGAAGGCGACCGCGGGCCCTCGGAACCGGCGCCGGGGTGGCCGCTCGGGCCTGCAGCGTGTGGACGCTGGTGGGCGCGCGGGGTCACCGTCCCCCGGGGGCCTGGCGACCTCCCGCCTCCCGCAGCGCGTGGCTCCCCCGGGCGCCMGCGGAGCCCCGGGCCGCGAGCTCTCCAAGGGCAGCCCGCGCCCGGCAGCCCCGGTCACCCCGGCCGTGTCCACGCGGCCCCGTCCCCTCCGCGCCTCTCCCACCTGAACTTGGCGCGCGCCTGGCCAGCGGCCAGGCCCCGGCGTCCTGCTGGCCGCCCGGGCTGAGCTGGGGGCGGCCGCCCGGTCGGGGTCTGGGCGGCCGCGGGCCGGGCCGCGGGTCCCTGCGCTCGCTCGCCCGCTGCCCGCTGCGGCGGAGTCTCGCCCGCCGGCCGCGCTCTGCGCTCCCTCCCGGCCGCTCACGTGACGCCGCGGGCGCCGCGAAGGCTCGCAGGAGGCTCGGCCTCGGGCGCGCTTCCCATTGGCCAGCGCCGCGCGTCACGCGCCCCGCCCCGCCCAGGCCCCGCCCCGACCACGCCCCCGACACGCCCCCCGACACTCCAGGCCCCAGCGCAGCGCAGGGCTCAGAGCCCGGGAGCTGCTGGAGCTGCGCGCAGCCAGATCTGGCGCCCGATCCGGCCTCCAGCCGTCCACCCGCTGCCTCCGCGTCCACGAGGGTCCGCTTCCCAAGCTCGGTCCCCAGGTGAGGACGTGAGGCKAGCCCTGGGGCCTGCCTACGAAGGGCCCTGAAAGGGTGCCCCCGAGCTGTCCACCCACCGGGGATATGGCTGGCGGGGTCAGCTGCGCATCCCCGTGTCCACCCCCTGCGATCCGCTCTCCCGGTGCTGCCGGGTGAATTAGGGGACTTGCCTGGGGGCTGTTGTTGGAGAAATACGGTGTCTGTTCGTCCCTCTGGGCAAGCCACCAGCGCTGCCAGCCTGGCCTCCGACTGCCCAGGAGGTTTGCTGACCTCCACTGGAGGCCGATGACAGCGGCTCTCCGGGGACACCTTCAGTGCTCCTGGTCTATGGAGCGCGCTTCTCGGGGCTGCTCCAGTCCGAAGCGATTTCCTCCGGATGCGTTGGCGCCCAGCTGCTGCGAGAGAGAGAGAGAGAGAGAGAGAGAGAGAGAGAGCGAGCTCTGGGCAGTCAGCGGTCAGCGCGAGAGAGGCACGTGAGCCGCCAGTGCCAGTCCCCTGCGGCGCCCTTTGACCCACATTCCAGCCGGATCCCCAGCCAAGCGTTTCCCAGACCAAGAACCCACTCAGAGGGCGCCGCAGGAAGGAGAGGGGCCAGGCGAGCTGGTCCGGCTGCACCATGGGGCATCTAATGCACGGCCACCCCTCGGGCACGTGGACAGCGCTCCTTCTATGCAGCTGACTCCTTCTCCCTGGAGGCGGGGGAGCATGATCTGGAGCCAGTGAGTGGGTCGAGGTCCCGCGACGGGTGAATTGGACAATTGCAGCAAAGGGTCAGAAGACGCTTGAAACAAAAGGTGCGTCCTCAGCAACCTTAGCGCTAGGGGCCCCGAGGGTCCGCAAACCCAAAAACAGTCAGGATGACTCTGTTGAAATCTGAGTCACATCAGGTCCTTCTCGGCTGTTTTAATTTTCCTATCCCATTTTAGCTTTTTCTTTCTTTTTCTTGGCAATTATTACCTTTTTAACATTTCCCCCCCACACCACAATTTTGGGGATTGAACCCTCAGCCCTTTTTATTTTTTSTTTTGAGACAGGGTTTCACTATTTTTTTGAGGCTGGCCTCCAACTTGCAATCCTCCAGCCTCAGCCTCCTGAGTCACTGGGATGATAATCATGAGACACTGTGCCTGGCCTTGCCTTCTTACTTTATTATGTATTTTTTATTTTATGTTATTTATCCTTTGTCTCCTCCAAAACAGAATGGAAGTTCCATCCTGGCCTGCGGYGATTTCTAGCCCTTCGTATCTCCAGCATGAAGCATACAGTAGGCCCCCAATACTTGAATGAATAAATTTTCAGAAAGACTTAAACCGGAATGACAGGTTGGATGCACGTCCCCAGCTCGCACAGGGTGTCAAGCTCTGCCCTGGAATCTTCCAGATGCCTCCCCTCACAGATGTTGCAGTGGTGTGCAGAGCTGGCCCCGTCCAGCRGCTCCTCTGTGCTGTGGGGGTGTATGAGTCAGCTACAGCCGCGTAACAGATACCAGAGCGGGATTCGCACAACTTACTGTTCCGGAAGCCAGGAGTCCACTATCAAGGGGTCTTGGGTTAACTCCCCCAACGCCTCTCTCTTTAGCTGTAGATGGTATGACCCCTGTGTCCCCCTGGGGTCTCCCCCCACCCCCGTGTGTGACCGTGTCACCATGAAGTCCATGATGCTTGGCCAGCAATCTCAGGTCCACAGTACCCCAGAGCTCCTCACCCAGAGCCACCTTCTGAACAAGGGCCACGGAGCACTGTCCCTCTGTCACATGAACTCACTCCTTTCAGACGCCCCGGCGGGAGGGAGGCTGCCAGTTCCCAGCCCACAGCAGGAACATCCACCTGTCATCCACCCTTTGCGTCGAAGATGTCTTCCAATACTCGCAGGGACCAAAATGCCTTAAGTGTCCTGAAAGGACGTGGCTTCCTCTGACCACAGGGCCTTTGCACCAGCTGACCACAGGGTCTTTGCACTCACTGCTCCCTCTATTGGGAACACTCACCCAGGTCAACACAGCTCCTTCTTTGACTCTGATCTCAAATTTCACTCCCGAATCTCCTTTACAGCCACTCCACCTCTGTGGGAGCGGATTTCCGAACACTGGTCATTATTCATTTATTTGCAGATGTCTCTCCCCGTCCCAAGGGTTGTCAGGTATCCAGTCCCCCTTTCCCGGAACTCAGAGTTAACACTTATAAGTGACTGCTGTATACTCTGACGAGTGCTTCACAAATTCCATCTCACCCAAGCCTTCACCTTCCTGAGAGGTAGGAACTATTCCCATTGCCAAGGCCGTGGGTCACCACTACCCCCGGCAGAACTCTGAGCAATGTCCTTCCTTTTGGTACCAGGGATTGAACTCAGGGTCACTTAGCCACAGAGCCCCATCCCCAGCCCTGTTTTGTGTTTTATTTAAAGACAGGGTCTCACTGAGTTGCTTGAGGTCTTGCTAAACTGCTGAGGCTGGCCTCCAACTTATGATCCTCCTGCCCCAGCCTCCTGAGTCGCTGGGATCACAGGCGTGTGCCACCACGCGCCCCCTCTACCCCCCAGCTATGTAATTCTTGATGAAATTTGTGCAAATTCCACCAAAATATCAAATAGCACAACGGTCATGCCTTGGAACCAAACAAAAATAAAATAAAATAACCACAACAGATGGAAATTATGGGAGAAAAATTCCAGTCAAGGTTTCAATGTCCTCTGGAAGGGAACTGAATTTATAGCCAGAAGAAGTAAGGACGGGTTCAGCTCACGTCCCCAGGGCCCCGCCTGCCCTCCCCGGCTGAATCTGGCTGTTGGTGGGTGACAGGGAGTTAATGAGTCACCAGTGCCCGGCTAAAGTCCTCCAGGTTGAACACATGTTTTGGGAACGACCTCGGGACACAAGCTCCCGTCCCCTTTCCCCAGGGTGGCCGTCCCTGTCCGGTAAGGCCAGCAGACCCGGGGGTCACTGGCTGTCACTCGACTCTAAGCAGCTCTCCAGGAACAGAGGGTGGGCTGGGAGTGGCCACTGTTCAGAAATGCCACCCCCCCCCAGCCGGATGCTGGCCACAGCCAGATTGAGGGAGGAATTCCCGGTCATTTCAAAAACACAGCAGGGCACATAGCGGTCCCTGGTTGGGTAGAGATGACACACAAGTGACCAGGTCTTGCAGAGAGCAATTTCCCAGCTTGCACTGACCACAGGAACAGCATGGGAACAAGACACCCCACTCCTTTTTTTAAAAAATGCAATTTCCAAAGATGTCTGAAGGTTTTCGGTGGCTGGAAGGAAGTCCAGCTGATTGGTGTCCAGCAGGTGACCTCGCCTGCAGGCTGAAATCCCCAGCCCTGGATCTGCATCTAGGGACGACAGAGATGCTCAGCTCTGGTCCCACTAACAGGATGTCACACTGAGAAAAAAAAACAGGACACTGATGSGTGTCCACCCCCAGGAAGTCCACTAAGTTCCAGCTGCAGAGCAATTGACCCACACGGTCCAGGGGCCCTGTGTCCCTCCCTCCGGCCACCCAGTGGGACCACTGCATGAAGATATGGGCACAGAAGCGGGTCCATTTTGGAAATATCGCGTGGTGACCACACTCACGCACGAGCGTGGTTTGACCTCTTGCTTTTGTGCATCAGGCAAGTCCCATCTGGGTCCCTGGGCTCTGCTGCCCCCTGACACTGCGCATGCTCGGCTCACCAGCGCCCCCTGCTGGCCGTCATTTCAGCGGGGGCAATGGGCTCCCCCGGACCCTGTGGTGGGCACTTGCTGGCTTGGGTGTCGATAGCAGCCCTCCTTTGACAGGCAGTTCAGGGTGGGGGACAGGGAGGACGGGGCCAATGGGTACTTACTTTTTTGGAGGGGAGAGACCAGGGGTTGACCCCAGGGGTGCTTCACCCCTGAGCCCCATCCCCAGCCCTTTTTATTTAGAGACAGGGTCTCCCTGAGATGCTCAGGGCCTCACTAAGTTGCTGAGGCTGGCCTCCACCTTGCGATCCTCCTGCCTCAGCCTCCCGAGCTGCTGGGATGACAGGTATGTGCACCACTGTGCCCGGGCCTCACTGTGGTTTTGATTTGCATTTCCCTAATGGCTAATGATATGGAACATTTTCATATATTTCCATATTGGCCATTTGTAGTTCTTCTTTTCATAAGTGTCAGTCTAATGGATTGGCCCATTTGGGAACTGGGGGTATTTGAGTTTTGGGGAACAGTTTTGTGAACCCTTTGTGTATTCTGTGGATGAGGCCAAGTAGCAAGGATTTCCTCCCATCCTGCAGGCTCTCTCTTCACATTGTTCCCTTTGCTGCGCAGAAGCATTTCGATTTGATGCCACTCCATTTACTAACCTTGGCAGTCATTTCCTGGGACTTAGGGAGTCCTGTTGAGAACGTCACCATCTGTGCCTCGGTGCTGGAGGGTCGACCCCATATTTCCTTCTAGGTCTGGTTCCTGGCCTAATTCTGAGGGCTTGGATCCATTTCAAGTTGGCTTTTGTGCAGGGTGGGATAGAAGGGTCTGGTCTCCCTCTTCCACTGGCAAATGGCGAGGATTTGAGTTCTTTCTTTCCTATTTTTATCCACTTTATTTCTGTCTCTTTCCTAATTGCCCTGGCTACAATGTCTCGAGGAGGGTTTCCTCAGTGTTTTACCCTAAATGGGGCACCGGGTTGGGTCAACGGCCTTCACTGCATCCACCAAGATCCACGTGACATTTGTCATTAATTCTACTTCTGTGATGGGTTACAGCAATCGACTCGGGGAAGTCAAACCATCCTTGCATTCCTGGTATAAAGCCAATGCGGCCATGACGGTCAATCTCCTGAGTCGGTTGTTAAATGGGATTGGCGGATATTTTATTAAGTATTTTTGCATCTCGGTTCACCAGGGATATTGGTCTGTAGTTTTCTTGYCTCAAGATGTGTCCTTCTCTGGTTTTGGTATGAGTGTGATGTTGACCTCAGACAATGGATTTGGACGGGTTCCATCCCTTTGTATTTTATGGAATAAATTTGAGGAGCATTAGCATTAGATCTTTTTTTTTATTTATTTTTTTTTTAGTTCTCGGCGGACACAACATCTTTGTTGGTATGTGGTGCTGAGGATCGAACCCGGGTCGCTCGCATACCAGGCGAGCGCGCTACCGCTTGAGCCACATCCCCAGCCCAGCATTAGATCTTCTTTAAAGGTTTTGGAACAATTCAGTTGAGAATCTGCCTGGTCCTAGGCTTTTCTTTGTTTAATAACTTTTGTTTGCTGTTTGTTGGTTGGTTGGTACCAGGGATTGAACCCTAGCAATAATCCAAACCCTAACCCTAACCCTATTGAACCCTATTGGGCTCAGGATTGAACCCTGAACTCCGTCCCCAGCCCTTTTTATATTTTATTTATATTTTAACTCAGGGTCTCGCTGAGTTGCTTAGAGCCTCACCAAATTGCTGAGGCTGGCCTCCAACTTGCCATCCTCCTGCCTCAGCCTCCTGAGCCACCAGGATGACAGGCATGTGCCCTGCATCTGGCTGTTAAGTGGCTTTTTAATCACTCTCTCTGTCTCAATTGCTGTTATTGGTTTGTTTAGGTTTTTCTATATCTTTTTGGTCCAATGTTAGCAGGTCATGTGTGTCTAGAAATATATCCATTTTCTTGTAGATTTTCTAATTTATTGGAGACGTTTTAAAAAACCACTCCCTGATGGTCCTCTGTGTTGCTGTAATGTCTGTGGTGATGTCTCATTTTTCTCTCTGTAATGTCTGTGGTGATGTCTCATTTTTCTCATTATTAGGTATTTATTTGGGGTCTTTCTGATTTTCTCAGACAACCACTCATAGCTATGAACCTTTCTCTTAGAACAGCCTTCTTCGGTGTCCCACTCCCAGAGGTTCTGAGAAGTTGTATCACTATTCTCATTAGATTCTAAGGATTTTTAAAAAATTATTTCTCTCCTGATTTCTTCAATCTCCCACTCATCATTCAAAAGTACATTTTCTGGGCTGAGGCTGGGGCTCAGGGGTAGAGAGCACTTGCCTAGCATGTGTGAGGCCCTGGGTTCGATTCTCACCACTGCATATAAATAAATAAAGGTCCATGACTTGTATTTTTCGGGTGCAGAGAGAGAGTCTTTGCTGCACGAAAGTCAGGATGATCATCTATTTGTGAGCGAGATGGGTTGAAATTACCCTGTTATTGTTGGACGGGGGTCTCTCCGAGGCTTTGAGTAGTGTCTGTTTTATGGAATYGGTTGCTCTCACATTGGTGCCATGAATATTGCTGTATCTTCTTGTTGGATGGCTGCTCCGTCTCTTCTGATGAATTCTGCCCTGAGGTCAGCTTCGCGACACAGGAGATCAGCTGCCCTGGCTTGTTTGGGGACTCCGTTCCYGTGGTGTATCAATGTTTGTCCTTCCGTGTCCTTTGCCTGTGGCGGTGTCTGGCCCACCACGTGGATCTGGGTCTTGAGTTTTAGTTCCTGCCAACTCATGTCTTTTCATTGGAGGGTTGAGATCATTTGCGTTCAATGTTACCAGAGTGCAATGTTCATTAATTCCTTACATTTTAATTTATTTCTAATGCTTACTTGGATCCTGACTCTCATTTGCTTAAGCTACTCTTCAGATGAGATGTGTATATTTGGGAAATGTGGGATTTTAAAACATTTCTTCTGGGTGCAGCATTTCTTTAATAAGTTATGAAGCGCCAGCTTAGTGATGAGGAATTTTTTGAAATTTTTGTTTATCTTKGAAAGTTTTTATTTCCCCTTCATGGGAAATAAATACRGACGGGGGATTGAACTCAGGGGCATTTGACCCCTGAGCTCTGTCCCCAGCCCTAGTTTATATTTTATTTATTTTACTTAAAAGACAGGGTCTCACTGAGTTGCTTAGGGTTCAGTTTTTGCTGAGGCTGGCCTCCAACTTKCGATCCTCCTGCCTCGGCCTCCTAACCGCTGATGTCCTGAGCTGGCTTAAGGTTGGGGGAGGTTTGCCATCGGGTGCAGGGTGCAAGGACGAGAGTGTCAGAATTTGGGCTGAGGGACCCCCAGCTGTGGGACCCTCCCGCATCTCTCTGCAAATGCCTTCAGCATCCGGGAAGGCACTCTGGGGGTCGCTGCTGTCCCCACAGCAGCCCTTCAGATAGGGACCTCAGGACCGCAGCCGCCACTTGCTCTGCGCACCCGCCCCAGGGACCCCAGAGCTGGGGACTGCGGGGACAGCGGCCCCGGGCAGGCAAAGCCAAGGTCGCCACAACGCTGTTTGCGTGGATCCGCAGCGGAGCGTCTTTCAACTTGTTTACAATCTGCGTCACATCACCGGGAACCTTTCACCGCGGAGGGGACAAAAGGTTCCTCTTTTGCAAGTCCTGGGAGAACGGCGGCGCCACCAGGGCCCCTCGAGGAGCTGGTGCAGGGCGCCGCCCCGTGGCCAGTTTAGGCATTGCACACCCCGGGTACCCACTCCGCTGAGTGTCCTGGGGTTTTTTTTCGGGGGGTTGGGGTACCAGGGATGGAACCCAGGGGTGCTTCACCACGGAGCCCCATCCCCAGCCTGAGCAAAGAATTTTGTAGGGAACCCACATGCCTTGGGCATGTGCTCTGTGGTCACCTGGCTGGTGTTCTGCCCACCTCATTCCTGCCTTGTCCGACATCTGTCCCTGCACGTCTCCATCAATCCATCTTCTTATTTTATTTTTTTTAAAAAACAGGCTTTTAGCCAGGCACAGTGGTTCCCACCTGTAATCTCAGTGACTCTGGAGGCTGAGGCAGGAGGATCCCAAGTTAGAGGCCAGCCTCAGCAATTTAGCAAAACCCTTGTCTCTAAATAAAATATGAAAAGAGCTGGGACTCMGTGGTTCAGGGCCCTGGGTTCAATTCCTGGTGCCAATAAAAATCAGGCTTCAATCCGTAAGTGAGAATCTGAGGCTCAGAATGGAATATCCAAACGAGGCCACATTTTCTAGACGGTTTTCTTTCTTCCTCTGGGCACCAGGGCACACAAACCAGGGGCACTCAGCCACGGAGCCCGGTCCCCAGCCCTGTTTTGCATTTCATTTAGAGACAGGGTCTCGCTGAGTTGCTTAGGGCCTCGTTCAGTTGCCGAGGCTGGCCTCCACCCTGCGATCCTCCTGCCTCAGCCTCCAGAGCCACTGGGATGGCAGGCGCGGGCCATGGGACGCTGCCCACCAGTTGCCCTTTGCCAAAGGCCCTTCTAGAAAGTGCAGCCGCCTCCGGCGGGAGGGGACCAGGTCTATTTTTGCTCCAGGAGAAAGAAAAAAAAAGCGCTCTCGAGGAAGTGCAGTGGGGAGGGGTGACAAGGAGGACGCTCACGTCACCCTCCGCCGGTCCCAGCCCGGCCTCAGCCTCAGCCTCAGCGCAGGGAGCCCGGGAGCGCAGGCTGCAGACTCCGCGCTGCCCCCGCCCACCCGCTCCGGCCTCTGTGACGTCACAGTGGGCGGGGAGAATGGTCGCCATGGCGACGGGGAACGCCGAGCGCCGGCTGCAACGGGGCGAAGGAGAATGGCGGCTTCGGGCTTCGGAGCCAGCGCGCGCCGGTGGGGGTGAGGTTCCTCTGCAAGGTCCCCCTGCGAGGTCCCCCTGCGAGGTCTCCTGTAAGGTCCCCCTGCGAGGTCTCCCCCCTGCAAGGGCCCCCTGCWAAGTCCCCCTGCAAAGTCCCCCTGCGAGGTCCCCCTGSAAGGTCCCCCTGCAAAGTCCCCCTGCGAGGTCCCCCTGGAAGGTCCCCYTGCAAAGTCCCCCTGYRAGGTCCCCCTGCAAAGCCTCACGCCTTTCTTTGCCGTCTCATCCCTGCTCTGCTCGGTCCCTGTGCATCTCTCCATCCCTGTCCCCGCGAAGTCCCTGTGCAGCTTTGCTAGGCAGCGACCTAGCGAGGGGACCTTAGGAAGCCGGCCTCACCAGCCCGCCTCAGTTTCCCGGGAGGAACCGCTGCCCACCTGTGCCCTTGGCCGCCCCGGGATCTCTGGGGGCGCCTCGAAAATGCACCCAGCAGTTTGGGGAGGCCGAGGACCTGTCCTGCGAGCTTTGTTCGCGGGAAGACCCTGTTCTCCTGAGGTCCCACCCCRGGGGACACAGACGGCTGGGCTTTGTTTGTGGATTCTGGGGAGGAGGAGCCCAGGGCGCTTTTCCACTGAGCTACACCCCGCTATTATTTGGGGATGGGGGTCTTGCCAAATTGCCCAGGCTGGCCTCACCTTGCAATCCTCCTGCCTCAGCCTCCCAAACTGCTTGGGATTACAGGTGTTCATTGCTGTACCTGCTAATAAACCTCCTCTCTCTCTCTCTCTCTCTCTCTCTTTCTCACTGGGGATTGAACCCAAGGGCTCTTGACCCCTGAGCCCCGTCCCCAGCCCTTTTTCTATTTTATTTAGAGACAGGGTCTCCCTGAKTTGCTCAGGGCCTCGCCAAGTGGCTGAGGCTGGCTTTGAACTCGCCATCCTCCTGCCTCAGCCTCCCAAGCTGCTGCGATGACATGTGGGTGCCACCAGCTAGCAGTCAACTTTTTTTTTTYCCAACAATCACCTTGTAGTGGGAATTGCAGAGAAGAAAACAAAATTCGGATCTAAGAGGATGTCCTTCAGGGAAGATGTCTCTGAAGGGTGGTGTTTGAGCTGGTTTTGAAGGCAGAGGAGCCCCCCTAGTCCCAGCGAGAAAGGATTTCTTTTCTTTTTTCCTGTGGAGGCTGTGAGTGCAAAGGTCCTGGGGCAGACAGAGTTAATCTGGTCAAAGAACAGAAAGATCAAGGCCACTAAATCCTCAGAGGGAGTCTCTCCATGACCCTGGTGAAGGACAAGCCGTTGCGCCAGCCCCCCTCCCAGAAGCGGGGGTGGCGGGCTGTGGCACCGGGGCACCTGATGCATGCGCTGTTTCTCTTCCCCAGGTGAGAATYGTTCTCGGCCAAGGTCAGCCTGCGCATTGTCCGGTTCGTCCCCCGGCGGGGATGTCTAAGATGCTGTCTTCCCTGGTCTTCAACAACCTGGCCCACAATAGTAAGTCCTGGGCTGGGCCGGGTGCCCTCGGGGTCCCAGACACTGGGAGCCTGGGGTCCCAAGGTGGAGACCTCACCCAGGGTGGAGGAGGGGATTCTAGGCCCAGCCAGGAGGCAAGAATCCCAGACTCGCCAAGTCCCTGACCACGAACCTCGTGGACCAGTTTCTTACTGGGCCTGTGACCGGGACCACAGCTGACCGGGTTCTGGAGGGTTGGAGGTGCAAGAACCCGAGGTGTGGACGGTCGGTTCTCTCTGAGGACCCCGAGGGGGTGTATGCAGCACATCTGGACAGCAGCAGCTGGGCAGCTGGGGTGGCCCACGCCTATGATCCCTGTGGCTTGGGAGGCTGAGGCAGGAGGATCCCAAGTTGGAGGCCAGCCTCAACAATTTAGTGAGGACCTAAGCAACTCAGGGAGACCCTGTCCCTAAATAAAATACAAAAAAAGGGTGGGGGGGGGCTGGGGACGGGGCTCAGGGGTCGAGAACCCCTGAGTTCAATCCCCGGTATCCAAAAAGAAAAGAAAAAAGAAAAGAAGGAAAGAAAAAGAAACCAAGGCTCAGAGAGGCCCCCTGCACAGACGGTGTCTTTCCCCTCCTTGCTCAGTGCTCAGTTAGAGTCACTCACTGCGGTGGCTGTCACTCTTCTATGTCCCCAGGGAAGAGCCTACAGACCATGAACAAGAGTCTGTCTTCCATCATTGAGGACCATCCCGAGAAGCCGACCAAGAAGGACAAAGGTGGGTCAGCGGGTGGTGACATCCGCTCACTCCGGTTTTCTCTTGCCTGCTGGGCTGCGGGGACACACCCCACCGACCCCAGGGACCCAAGCCACCCAGAAAGAGCTGGCTCCTCTGTCCAACAAGGTGTCTCCCTCCCCAGAGCCTGCCAAAGTTTCCAATCTCTCGGCCAATCCTTTCCACATGTCTGGGGACGTGGACTTCTTCCTGTTCAGGGACCAGGAGCTCAATAAGGCGATTTTGGTGAGTACCCTGGCCAGGGGCCAGCCCCTCGGTGACCTCCCTTCCCCCCCCACCCCAAGGGGCTTCCTTCTCTCAGATAAGCAGCAAACACCACTTTCCACCAAGTGACCTTCCAGCYGACCAATACCAACAATACCCTGCCCATCCCACTCTGGATTCCGAGGTTCTTTTGGAAACCCAGAAGGTTCTAAATTCCCCGGACCTGTCTGTCACATTTAGCACCTCCAAACATGAGGCCCTCAGTTAAATGTGACTGTGATACTCAGCACCTCCAGACATGAGGCCCTCAGTTAAATGCGACTGTGCTACTCAGCACCTCCAAACATGAGGCCCTCAGTTAAATGCGACTGTGATACTCAGCACCTCCAAACATGAGGCCCTCAGTTAAATGCGACTGTGCTACTCAGCACCTCCAAACATGAGGCCCTCAGTTAAATGCGACTGTGCTNCAGTTAAATGCGACTGTGCTACTCAGCACCTCCAAACATGAGGCCCTCAGTTAAATGCGACTGTGCTACTCAGCACCTCCAAACATGAGGCCCTCCGTTAAATGTGACTGACGCCACCCACGTCCCCAGGAGCGGGAGCAGAGGAAGGCCATGCAGGTCCACCAGAAGACGACCGTCTCCTCCAAGGTGTCCACCAAGCAGAGCCACCTGCGTCGCGAGCTGCAGCTGGAGGAGGAGGCGGAGGACAGGGAGCTACAGGCGGAGGAGGAGCAGATGCAAGCCTTCCAGCAAGAAACGGCCTGGAAACTGGCCATGACCAGAGGTGCCACCCGCCCCCCGGGGAAGCCCCATTCTCTGTAGGGCCCGCTCCCCAGGCTGGTCACCAGGGGACCCCCAGGGAGCCATTCCCTGCCGGGTTCCGACCTCACACCCCTCACTCCTCCTCTGGACCTTCCTGTGTCACCTCCCAGAGGGGCTCTGGGGACACCCCACAGCCACAGCACAACAGACAGGGCCTCACTAATTTACTTAGGGCCCAGTGGCCGAGGCTGGCCTCCCACTTGCGATCCTCCTGCCTCAGCCTCTGGAGCTGCGGGGAGGACAGGCGGGCGTCCCTGTGCGTGGCTCAGGGTGCTGATGGAGCCTCTGGGGGACACCTCTCATCCCAGACACAACAGATACCCAAACCTACGGGTGCTCCAGTCCCTTCCACAAGGTGGCATGTCACCTGTGCACCTCTTCCTGCTTAAGTCACCTGGAGGTGGCCAATTTGCGTTTGCAGTGATTTTTTTTTTTTTTCCTGACATTTGGACGTCGGAACAGTCACAGTGGGTTGTCCCCGAGGGCGTGGACCCCACCCGTAGGAAGGGCTGGGTGTGTCCTGGGGACGGAGCATGCTGTCCCTTGGCTGGTGGTAGGGGACAACAGAGCACTCCCCCTGCCCTGGTGAATCCCGTCCCTTTGGGTCACAGCCTGGCAGCGGGAGGCCACGGCCCCTAAGGTYCTGAGCGCCTGTCCCCAGCGCTGGCTGGGGCCGTGTCATTCCAGAGAAGAAAATGGAGCCCGACACCCTGAGCAGCTACATCGACCAGAAGCGGAAGATGTTCCTGATCCAGGTGGGTCCCCTCCCGCACCTGCCCGGGGTGGGGGCCACGTCCGACTCGGGGCCAGGGCCCAGGTGGGCGCCGTGACCTTGCCCTGCCGGCCCCCAGTACGCCGTGGAGATGAAGCGCAGTGAGATCAGGAGGCTGGAGTCCCTGGCCTCCGAGGAGGAGGCCCGGCTGAAGGAGGCCCAGAAGTCCCTGGAGATGGACTCGATGCTCTTTGACGAGTTCCTCAGAGACAATGATGCCAACTCCGTCCAGGCCATGAGACTGTGAGTCCCGGGGACCCCTGACACCACGTCCCCACGTCCTCCCTCCTACGTCTCCACCCAGGGCCTCCACCCAGGCCCAATCCAACCTCAGCTGGACACCCCCAGCCTCCCCTCTTGCCAAGCTAGGACCCTGACCACCCTGGGCCCTCCCCCCCTGGCCCCTGGCCAGTCCCTAGGGCTGCCCTGGCCCTGGGCTCTAAGCTCAAGGTGCTGGCTCCTTCTTTAGCCTCAATCTGTGACCGGCCTCCTGGCCTCCCTGCCTCTCCCAGGGCTGAGAAGGAAACCAAAGCCAAGATGGATAAGATCGCGGAGATCCGGGAGCTCACCATCCAGATCATGCACGTCAAGAGGTGAGGCCAGAGGCTGCACTGGCCCATGGGTGGCCCGTCCCCCTTGGTCACCTGGGCCCAGCTTCAGGGAGTGACTCGGAGCCCTGCAGGAGGCTGAGTTGGAGGCCCAGCCTTTCCTTGCGCACCAGCCTTCTCGGCCCGCAGGCGCCTCGGGTCCCCGCTGTAGAGAGCCACAGCTCCCAGGGTGGACAGGGGCCAGCGCGTCCCTGAGGGCCACCTAGACACTCCTGAGCCCTGCAGGGTGGGTGTCCCCTCCAGCCAGCGCTGGGGCACGGTGGGATGTGGGGTCCAGCTGGAGGGTCTCCGGGGGGACAGGGCCAGGGGGACTGACCTCCCTTCCCCCGCCTAGCGAGATCGCCAAGTTCGAGGACACCCTGCAGCAGTACAAGATGTACAAGGACTTCCTGTACAAGGTGTCACCCAAGGAGTGGCTGGAGGGACAGGAGAGGCGGCGGTTGGCCCTCAGGAAGGCCAAGGAGATGGCCCAGGCCCCCGCGAAGGGCGGTGGGATCCCCGCACCAGGGGACAAAGGTAGTGGAACAGAGAATGTGGGTCCCAGGGGGAGTTCTGCTGGCGGCCGGGGTCCCTCACGCTGCTGGCTCCTTGCGACCTTCACGTCCCCAGCTGGGCTCACACCCCCTGAGCCYGGCGTGTGGCTCAGCCCCACACCTGCACCGAGGGTCTCGACTCTCAACTCGAAAACAGGGGCCTTCAGCCGTGCACCTCTGTCCTCCCAGCAGCTGGGGAGGCTGAGGCAGGAGGACCGTGAGTTGGAGGCCGGCCTCAGCCACTCAGTGAGACCCTGCCTCTAAAGAAAATAGCTCTCTCCTGGGGTCAGTCTCCGGCACCGAAATAAAGGAAGGAACCAACCGACAGGGGCTGTCCTCCACCAGGGACCTCCTGTCACAGGCTGGCGGGGGGGGGGGCGGGGGCGGGTGACCCAGTGGGTCCTGGACACTCACAGCCGCCCACTCACCGGAAGCTTGGCTCGGCCCCTGCCATCTGGGATCTCTTCCTTTGTTCCCTAAGGACCCGGGGTCAAGAGCAAGATGGCCCCTTTGTTGGGCAGAGGTACGTACGCGGTCACCCTGGGCGGGAGGGGCTCCTGGTCCTGAGACCAGGACACTCAGGTGACCCTCTGTCCCCCAGAGCCTCACATTGTGAAGAAGCCCCTGAAGCTTCTGCAGGCCCCACGGGGTGGACAGGCCCTGTCTAGTAGCAGCAGCAGCCTCCAGCCCTTGCCGCCCAATCAGCCAGACCCTGCGAGGTAAGGGGATCAGGACAGGGGACGAGGGGGCCTTGCAGGGGACCTGCCCACTCCCACTCTGGCAGGGCCCAGAGGACAGGAGCTGCTGAGAAATGCTTCCTCTCATTTGAGAGAGACAGGGTCTCACTACTGCTGAGGCTGGCCTCCAGCTTGCTTGTGATCCTCCTGCCTCAGCCTCCCGAGTYGCTGGGATGACCGGCGTGCGCCACCGCTGGCCGGCCGACTTCTGTCCCTTGATATATACCTTTTTCTTACGGGGCTCTGTTAGTGCTTTCTATGTTCTGGGTGCAGAGTGAGCTGGTGGCTGTCCGAGCTACACCTCCGAATGCGGACGGGCCTTAGAGGAGGGGGTGTCCTCAGGGGAGACGCAGGTGCAAAGGCCCTGAGGTAGGCGTGGACAGGGCAGTGAAGCAGCGTGAACTTGGAGAGAGGTTCATGCAACCTGGAGAGTGAGTTGCTGATGGGATTTTGAAAGTGTCCCCCCCGGCTGCAGGGCCATAAAAGGGGCAGGATGCTCCACCCACGGGGCCACCCAGGCTGGTCCCCTTCTGAGCCCTGACCGACCCCAGCGCCTCTTTGCAGGCCCAGCTCTGACCCCATGCCGGAGGACTCGGACAGCGATGAGGAGGTTGGTGGCCCGGCTCTGCCTTCCCCTCCCTCAGCCCTGCACCCCCTCCCCCTCCCCCCGTGGGCCCAGGGTCCCCTGCGGCCCCTTGCCGGACGCCATCCTTGCAGGAACAGGTGCTGTTCTTCACGGAGCCGCAGCAGCTGCTGGACATCTTCAAGGACCTGGAGGAGCAGAACCTGTCTCTGATCCAGAACACCCAGGAGATGGAGGAGACGCTGGAGGAGCTGAACCTCACCCTGAAGAGCACGCATGTGCGCATGTGCGTCCCCCTCCCCCGCCCCCCCCCCCGTTGCTGCAGGGCGGGTGGGCGGGGCCCGGGGCTGGGGGCCACAGAGGGAGGTCCGGCTGCCCACAGCACACCCTTGGGTCCCTGTGCAGGGTGTCCTCCTGCTGTTGTTGAGAGCCAGCTGCTCAGCAGGGGCACGAGCAGACACAGCCATGAGCTACTGCAGTGTCCCCCAGGCCGGGGCCAGGCGGAATGGCTGGGGGCCAGCAAGGGCTTCTTGGAGGAGTGAGGTAGTGGGCTCATTGGTCACGACCAGGAGGCCCCGAAAGACCTTGAGGGAGCAGGGCGCAGTGGCCCACGCCTGTCATCTCAGCAGCTAGGGAGGCTGAGGCAGGAGGATCACCAGTTGGAGGCCGGCCTTAGCAATAAGCAAGGCCCTAAGCCACTCAGCCAGACCCTGTCTCTAAATAAAAAAAGTAAAAGGGCTGGGGACGGGGTCAGTGGGTAACCGCCTCTGGATCAACCCTTGGTGCCCCCCCCCCAAAAAAAAAATTTTTTTGGTTCTTTGGAGCCTCACCTTCTGCATCCCTCCCTCTAGCCTTTGGGACTCCCTGTCCTGAAGCAGAGGGTCGATTGGATTAGAGGCCGTGTCCCCTCCCCCATGCAGGGACAGGGAGGTTCAGCAGCTGAAGCAGTGGGTGACCACGATGACCATGTCCATTGCCAAGGAAGAAGAGATGGCTTCTGAGCTGGAACTCAAGGCCCGCGTCTTCCACTTCGGGGAGTACATGGGCGACCAGCAGGTGGGCAGCTCGGTGGCCTCGGTCCCCAGAGCAAGGTCCAGACTCAGCCTTCTGGCTCCTGGGCCTCACCCAGGAATGATCCTGCAGATGGCCGCCCCAGGCTCCAGGCCCCCAGATTCCCAGGTCCGGGACCCCCAGGTCCCCAGGTCCAGGCCCCCCCAGGTCCCCAGGCCAGGTTCCCTAGGTCCCCAAGGGCCCTCCTTTCGCATCACACGCATCTGTCTGCTTAAGTGGATCCACCGGTGGACAGGGGCGTGGACGGGGGCGTGGACGGGGGCGTGGACGGGGGCGTGGACGGGGGCGTGGACGGGGGCGTGGACGGGGGCGTGGACGGGGGCGTGGACGGGGGCGTGGACGGGGGCGTGGACGGGGGCGTGGACGGGGGCGTGGACGAGGGCGTGTCCTCCAGCTGGGCTGTGAGGGGAGAAATCTGAGAGGACAAGAGGCCACTGATGCTGTGAGCTGCAGGAACTGGGGTCCGCAGGGCTCAGCTCATTCCCAGAGGGATGCGACACCAGGGACCTGAGTTGCTAGAAAGGCTGCCAAGGGGCACCGGGCCCAGGGCCAGGCGCACAGGAAGCCGCTGTGAGCAGGATGGCAGCCCCCTGCCCCAGCAGGTGTCACTGGGAACTGGTTGAGCCTTCCTGTCCCTGTTTCTGGGACGAGCTGGGCTTAGCGCAGGGGTCCCTTGACGGGCCACCAGGCTTTGGGGCCTGGCCTAGGCAGCTGGGGGAAGGGCTGAGATGCAGAGTGGGCCCCCGTGGCTGCCCTAAAGGGGACCAGGGGGTTGGGCTGCTCTGACTGTGAAAGGCCAGTCTCCCAAGTTGTGCCACCTGTTTCCTGGACACCCACGGTGGCCGCTGGCCCCGGGCGAGGCCACTGTGAGCCCGGCGGCCGCAGGCCCTGGCAGCGTCCCCTCCTGCAGGACAAGCTGCTGGAGAGCCTGGACCACAAGGTGCTGGACGTGTACAGGCGCTGCGTGGGCGGCCCGCAGGAGGCGAACCTGGGCACCGTGCAGATGCTCACCACCATCGAGCACCAGCTGGAGGAGCTGCTGGAGAGCCTGGAGCGCGTGCCGGCCTCCTGGGTGGAGCAGATCGAAAAGGCCCAGGAGAAGGAGCGCCACCGGAGGTGAGAGGAGCGCCAGGGGTCAGGGGACTGAGGGGAAGGTGGAGGGTGTGGCCCTCGGGGACACAGGGGCGTCAGGGAAGGGTCTCAGGCAGGGACAGACGCGGAAGGCAGGATTTGGCTGGACTCTTTGGGGGGGGTGCGCAGATTCTGGGCACCTGGGGACCCAGTTCAGGCCGGGCTGCAGGGTGGGCGGGGCCAGCTCTCTGTGGATGCTGCCTGAGAGCGTGTGACAGGCTCCCTGGGGACCAGGTGAGATGAGAAGCCACCAGAGCCSTCTGGCCCGTGCACTGCCCGGGTCATGGTCCACCTCATGCCGGCCCCCAAGACGGTCCTCCTTCAGCGCCCACCTGCCTCCCACAAGCCAGGGGACTTCCCCTCCCGGTCCCCAGCACCCAGCTTAGAGGGGGTGGCGGGCAAAGGTTTGGTGACAGCAACCAGCACTGCCCCACGGGCACGCGGATGTGGCTCCAGGGCCACAGGCAGGTGTCYGCTGTGAAGCTCCGACCGCCCCGGCCACGCCCACCCGGCGCTGGGCGATCTGGGTGGGCGTGGCCTGGCCCGRGGCCGGGCGGAGGGGCGCTGCGGAGCTGGGGCCTCCGGCCACCGCTGGCCCTGCCGTCGCCCGTTCGCAGGCTCCGGGAGGAGAAGGCCATGATGCAGAGGATGCTGCAGGAGGAGCGTCTGCAGCGGGCTCGGGCCCGGGCCCAGGCGGCGGTCAAGAGGAAGGTAGGCGGGCGGGCCGGGGCGAGCCCAGGGAGCCTGCGCCTCGCCCGCCAGGGCCGTGCGGGCCGCTGGGGCCTCGGAGGGCGGGTTGCTGCTGGTGGCCKCCAGGCAGGCGGGACGGAGCCTCTGCAGCCAGGCGTCACCTCCGGGGCTGCCCCCTCCCCGGGCTGCCCTTCTGAGGTCCCTGTGGGGGCTCCTTGTTGGACACACAGTCCTGGGCGCAGACTGGCCCGCAGCCCCTACCTCCGGCCCCGCGCAAGCGCACCGCACAGAGCTCCCAGGGCAGCCACCCGCCTGGCCCAGTAGTGGGCAGGGGCGGGGCCTCGCGTGCCCAAGGCGGGGCAGACGTGGGTGGGCGGGGCAGACGTGGGTGGGCGGGGCCTCTGGTGCCCAGGGTGAGGACGGGGTGGGCGGGGCCTCCCTGCCCGGGGCGGGACCGACGGGTGGGCGGAGCGGACGGGAGTAGGCGGGGTCTCCCGTGCCCAGGGCGGGGCAGATGTGGGTGGGTGGGGCCTCTGGTGCCCAGGGCGGGGCGGGGCCTCCGATGCCCAATGCGATGGGACGGGGTGGGCGGGGCAGATGTGGGTGGGCGGGGCCTCCMGTGCTCAGGGCGGGGCGGGCTGGAGCGGGGCCTCAGGTGCCCAGGGCAGGCAGGCGGGTCAGGGGCGCCCCGGGGCGGCCGGGCAGAGGCGCGCTCACGGAGCTCCCCTTTGCAGCGGGGCCGCAAGCTGGTGTGCCGGTCGCGGCCCCCGGTCCCCAGGGTGAAGGAGGAGCCCGAGCACCCGGTGGTGGACAAGGAGAAGGAGGAGCTGCTCTTCTTCTTCACCTAGCGGAGCGGGAGGTCGCAGCGACCAGGGGGCCAGGCGCGGGGTCCGCGGGCCGGGCTCTGTGGCTCCTGGTCGCACCAATAAAGCCACGTATTGTTTTTCTGTGGGTGTTGATGGCTTGTCCCTGTCACTGACCCCAGCGCGCGCCATCGGGACTCCACCCGGTTCTCAGTCGGGCAACTCCTTGGAGCCCTGCCACAGGTGGCACAGGTGGCGCAGGGGGACGAGGCCCCCGGAGGGTGAAGGGGGACCTGAATCAAGCCGGGGACAGACCTTGGGTGCACGACAATACAAAAACCTTTATTCACTTGCACTCCGAGGTGGCCGTCGCCAGGCAGGCAGCCTCAGTGCCCAGCGCTCCGCCAGCCAGTTTTAACCCTTGGGTGGTGACACCCAGTGGGAGACGCAAGGGCTCACCCAAGAAGGGGCTCCCCATTACGGGAGGCCCCTGGAGGACAGGTGGGCACAGATGACCCCGGAATGCTACCTGTGGGCAGCACAGGGACCTGAGGAGAGGAGCGGCTCCCAAATGGCCTCAGTCCCCAGGCCAAAGTCCCCAAATTAGAGAAACACAGGAACAGAGGGAGCGCAGAGTGGCGGGACGCCTAGGTGGGACCCACAGCCCCATCGGGGTCAACTTCAAAGGCACCATCGGAAAGGGACGCATTCTGGGGGACCTGTGTCCAGGCACTGACCAGCTGGTGTGTGCCAGGTGATGGGCGTCTGCTGCCGGGGGACACCCCCTCAGGGAAAGGGCAGTGGGCACAGTGTGGGTACACCGGCCACCTCCACTGTAAGAGCCATCTGTGTGCCACTGTCATGGTCCCTCACATCAGTCCCAGCACTCAGGAGATGGCGTTAGGCACCGTGGTCACTTAGTATGTAACAACAGCCAAACGTGGAGCTGAGAGACGGCATCTGAAAAGGTTTTTCTCTTTTTTTAACTGTGGCATCCAAATGCGCAGCTCCCCGTTGGCTGGACCCAGGTCCCAGGGTGTCCCTGGTCACCTTCCTCCCAAACTCGCTGTCTGTCTTGCTGGAACAAGGACTGGGGTCTGGCTTCACCCTGGGGCTAAGGTTGGCAAGACGGGCCCACCGTGACYGCCATCCCAAGCACTGAGAAGTGGCCTGTCACAGAAGATGGGATTTCTAGATCTTTCCTGGGCACACACAATGTTAAATAAAACGCTGGGGGTGGGACAGCCCTGGGGACAGGGCTGTCCTGGAGCAGGGCCTGACTCTGCCCTACTTCCTATACGGGTCTTTTTTTTTTTTTTTTTTTCCTTTTGATGCAACGATTACAAACTGAGATCCACTGGGACCTGGGACAGGCAGCCACACACACCAGGCACCTCCCCGTCAGGACAATGTCAAAAAGTTCGGCCCAGATGGTTCCTGATGGAAATAAAAGTTTTTGATAAATGGACCCAAAGTCTCTGAAGAACGAGGCGAGGCTTCTGGGTGGACACCARGCGGGGCCTCTGAGCCCCCGTCCCATGTCATCGGTGTCACCTGGGGAAGCGCAGCCTGGACTTGCTCCAGAGGGCGGGTCACTGCAGGTCCCTGAGGTTGATGGTGCTTCCTGGGGCCTGTGCAGCCACTGGCCTGGCAGTGCCTCCGGGGTCTGTAGGGGCCTCCTGCCAAGGCAAGGGAAGGGTGAGTGGAGAGGGACAGCAGTGCAGGGCAGGAGATCCCAGCCACCTGTCACAGCAAGGTMCAGGCCCCCAGAGAGCCAGAGGCAGTAAGGCACCCAACTCTCCTTCAAGGACAACATGCTCTCTCCCTGCTCCAAACCCAGGCTTCACAAACACACCCGGGCTCTGCCCGAGACCAGCCCCTTTTATCTTGAGAGGTTCTCACTATGTGGCTGAGGCTGGCCTCCAACTTGCAATCCTCTAGCCTGAGCCTCCCAAGCTGTTGGGATTACTGGTGGGGGACCCTCTGCCCAACTAACCCGCTTCTTTAATATCTGAGCTCTGTGTTCCTTCTTACAAAGACCAGATCACCTTGGGTTAGCTGTGGAACCCGCTTCCCACTTTGCCCATGGGACACGCCCTCCCAAGGTAGCAGATGTCTGTGTCAGCAGTGGCCGAACAGGACAGTGGGCCCCGCTGCACCAGCCCCCATCTAAGTCACCTCCCCTGTATAGGAAACGTCTCGACTGTGTCACCATCAGGGGGTGTGGGGAATACCTGGGGCTCATCATCAGSTCACTACCTAACTTCCTCAAGTACGGTCTAATAGGCTTCGTGAACAGGAGACATTATTTGAATTATTTTTTGGAACCGGGAATTGAGCCCTGGGGCTCTTAACCCCTGAGCCCTGTCCCCTGACCTAATTTGCATTTTATTTAGAGACAGGGTCTCACTGAGTTGCTTAGGGCTTCACTAAGTTGCTGAGGCTGGCCTCCAACTTGTGATCCTCCTGCCTCAGCCTCCCCAGCCACTGGGATGACAGGCGTGGGCCACTGCRCCCAGCTAGAATAGACACTTTTGGGGTTTTCTGACATGCTGCCAAGCTGTACCCTGAAGTGGCCCCTCCACCTGTCTTTATAAGCTCCTGCAAGTACTTTACTGATTGAACTCAGATTGTCGGGAACTTGACCAASTACCGTCTTCCACTGTGTCACATCCAGATCCAAGTCACCCACAGCTCCTGACCCCAGCCACCTGCCCAAGGGACTAGTGAATGGGTCCGGGTTAAACAGTGGCCGGCTTGCTTCTCCCAGGAGAAAGTAACTGGAGTTTAGTATAAAATAGTTCCCAGGTACATTAAATGTCACCTTGTCTGTAAGGAGAGTGACAAGGAGCAGCAGCTCTGGGCTTCCGGGTTGCCCTGTCACTGGCTCACCCGCAGTCTCAATGGCAGGCCCAGCTCAGCAGCTCYTGTGCGCCATGAGCCCATTCCTGCGAGTTCAAAGCTGGAGGACAGTGTTAATTAATAAGAGAATAATAATAGCCAGGCATAGGAGGCYRAGGCAGGAGGATCGCAAGTTGGAGGCCAGCCTCAGCAACGGCGAGGCCCTAAGCAACTCAGGGAGACCCTGTCTCTAAATAAAATAGAAAAAGGGCTGGGGACGGGGCTCAGGGGTTGAAGTCCCCTGGGGTCAATTCCCGGTACCCCCCTAATAATAATAATAATAATAATAATAATAATAATAATAATAAATAAATAAGGACTCTAACCTGGAGGACGTAGACAGGCAAATCCAGGGTGAAGCAGGGGTGGAAGGCCGAGGGCTGGGGACTGAGGGCCAGAGGCAGGGCTCCTTCACCCGAGGGATCATCCTGGGGAGGCAACCGCCAGCAAGACCTGTCAGCTGTCTGTCTGGCAGCTCCCACAGGCCCTCACTGTGAGGCCCAGGAGAGCCCGCCGTCCGCCCCAAGGAGGCCCAGGGACCCAGCGGTGACTCCTGGCCCTCACTGTCCCAGCCGGGTCCTAGCTCAAGGCGCAGCAGAGGAAGCTGGCCCTGGAATCTCCTGCCTGGTCACTMTGGTCCCGTTCAGGAAGGGGACACTGTGCCCTTGACCTGTCTTGTGTGCACACCCAGCCTGTGGCCGGCCACGCTACAACACTGGCCTTCTGTCCTGCTCCACCCCCATGTCCCACTGCCTCGGGGACCTCCCGCCTGTCAGTCACCGAGCACTGATTCGCAGTGTACAGGCAACAAAACGGGGCCTATGTGCTTCGGGGACTGGCCTGGGACTATACTAGGTGACAAAAGACAGGGAAGGTCCACACCCAGGTCTCTCTGACCTCCGCACGTCCTCCCAGCTGCCCCCTCGTAGCCCACAGCAGGGCCCTCCCCATTTTAGAGGCCCATTTTAGAGGCCCGGCCTCTGCCTTTGCCACCTGATCTTTCTCTGAAGACTGAACCCAGGGGCCCTAAACCCCTGAGCCCCGTCCCCAGCCTGGTTCTGTATTTTTTAGAGACAGGGTCTCGCTCAGTTGCTGAGGGCCTTGCTAAGWGGCTGAGGCTGGCCTCCACCTGGCGATCCTCCTGCCTCAGCCTCCTGAGCAGCTGGGATGGCAGGTGTGTGCCCCGCGCCGGGCCACCTTCTTCATTTTCAACCTGGTGGCTGTGGCTGTGTCCCCCTGGACGGGTCTCTGTCCCTTCACCGGCCCTGTCTTGGGGAGTCGTCATCTCACGGGCTCTAGGTTGCTCTGCCCTCCTGCCCACAGGGAGCCCTGCTCAGGGCCTGCTCCTCAGGCCCCACCCTGGCTGCCGCCCCCAGCTCCCCTGCGGCCCTGGCCAATCCCTTGGGAGCCTAGGACCCCCACAGCGGTGGCCCTCACCCTGCAGGGGCCTGCCCAGCACTCTGGTGTCAGGAGCTCCCTGCTGCCCAACTCGCCCTGCGGCGTCTGCCCGGTGCCTGCTCTAGTGTCACCTCCGCCCCACAGTGACACTCCTGTCAAGAAGTGCATGGGACAGGCCGGGCCACAGCCAGGGGTCACAGCCTGCTCCTCRGCCTCTTCCTCCTATCCCAGCCCTCAGACATGAGTTGGGAAGGGCAGGTGTTCCAAGGCCTGCTGAAGTCACGGCTGTGTGGGTGCACAGGGGTGGGTGTCATTTGGAAGTCCCTGCTAGGCTCCTGAGGGGTGGCTGGGCCTGTCCTGCAGGGGTTCAAGKAGGGTAGGAAAAAAAATGGGGAACACAGCCCACGCCTGTCATCCCAGCAGCTCAGGAGGCTGAGGCAGGAGGATCGCCAGGTGGAGGCCAGCCTCAGCCACTTAGCGAGGCCCTCAGCAGCTCAGGGAGACCCTGTCTCTAAATAGAATACAGAATAGGCTTGGGGACGGGGCTCAGGGGTCGAGGGCCCCTGGTTCAGTCCCCAGCCCCCTCTCCCYACAAAGGGGAAAGACAAAAGGCGTCATCTAGGGCGGGGGCTGGTGTGGCCCAAGGTCCCCTCAGCCCTGCAGGTTCAATGGCACGTGGGGGGAGGGCCGGCAGCCACAAGCACCCCAAGGCCAGCCCGGGCAGCCTCCAACACTGCCCCCCTCAGCAGGGCAGGGAGACGGCCACCCAACTGGGCACAGACCGTCAGGGCAACTGGACGCAGGGGACGCAGGGCCACAAACCTGGTGCGCCAGTCCTGACCGAGGTAAGAGCTTGCAGAGSTGCAGGGAGACGGGCTGGGGAGAGAGAAGTGGGGTTACCGGGGACTGGGATGTGAGACGGGCCTGGGCCRACGATCAGGGGCGGGCGGTGGTGGCCACAGTGGTCAGGGTGCAGACGCGGTGCCGGCCCCCCGCCCAGCCTGTCCCCAGACCAGCCTGTCCCCAGGGGGCTCAGTGGCGCCTGGCCTACCTGCAGGACCGGAACCTGGACGCACTGGAGCCCGGCTGTCAGAGCAGACCCTGGTGGACCTCCGAGAGGCCCGGGGAGGCTCCCACGTGGACAGCTGCTTTGGCCTCCCTGGAGGCAGGGAGGCCCACATTGGCCATCTCTGAGTTTCCTCTGAGTGGATTTGGGGACTCCTGAAACGAGAGATGGGACCCAGCAGATCCAACCGGCCATCCATCGGTGGCTCTTGGCCCCACTGAGGTGGCACTGGGGACAGTCTTTCCATGGACAGTCAGTCTGCCGTGCCYGAGGGACCTGAAATCCCCAACAGGATTAGCCCCAGGTAGGCCGGCCAGGGCCAAGGACTCGGGTCACAGGCGCAGTGCCACGTGCCACTGTCTTACCCAGGCACTGGCCACCGCTTTCCTCCTCGGCCTCCGAGGCCCGTCTCCTTGAAGGGCAAAGAGTCCCAGGGCGACGATGGGCAGGGCCCTTCTGTTTGTATTTTATTTAGAGACAGGGTCTCCCTGAGTKGCTTAGGGCCTCGCTTTGGCTGAGGCTGGCCTCCACCTGGYGATCCTCCTGCCTCAGCCTCCCRAGTTGCTGAGATGACAGGGGTGTGGTTTCTAACAACTGCTCTGCGTCTGGCTTCTCTTTTCTAATTGCTTTTTTCACTTTCAGACAGCAGAACAGGGCCGAGCCACGGCAAGATGGATACGCAGGGCGTCTTTATTAGCAGGAACTGTCACCTCAGCTCCTGGGACCTTGAGTCTCTATACTATTCCATCCGGCTTTTGGAACTGTTCAGGACCACACTTTATGCTTTAAAATCTCTTGATCATCTCAGCATGTTTTCTTGTAAGAACAGTAAGGGACACAGTAGAACRTTTATGAGGATTTCTAGTCTAGAAGTTAAAGTTAACACTGTCATCACTAMTAATGCCAAACAAAATATATTAGAAACGCCAACAGTTAGAATACCAAAAGCAAAGCTGTACTGAAATCATGAGACAGCAAGTATGGTGGCGCCCACGTGGAATCCCCATGGCTCAGGAGGCTGAGGTGGGAGGATCACAATTTAGAGGCCAGCCTCAGCTAAACTTAGTGAGGCCCTAGGTAATTTAGCGAGAACCTGACTCGAAATGGAAAAAAATTAAATAAAGAGCTGGGGACGAGGCTCAGTGGTTCAGCACCCTTGGGTTCAATCCCTGGTTTAAAAAAAAAATCAACACATCAAGGGTGGGAAGGACTTTGCTCCCCTGTGAGTTCATGTACCTTTCTGTGTTTTAATATTGCTCCAAGGAGACCTGGTCTGCGTGTGTTGGTGTCCATTAAAATATTTTGTAAGTCAAATTCTCAGGTGGTTTAATATCATGTCATGACACCCCTGCAGATGGAGTGTCTCAATTTACTGGAAATGTCTGCCAGGAGTCTCAAGTAGCAAGCCAGCCTCCGAAGAGYAAAAAATAATCAGCCTCTGATTATTTTTTAATTCAAATAAATATACTGAACCGTATTTCAAGGCATATTAGAGAGACCACTGCAGAGTCAAGGAAGGCTTCGTGAAATTACCAAGTACCTTTTACATTATGCCCAACATGGGGGCCACACTCTATGTCGTCTAAGCAGCAAAAGACAGAGACAGAAGTGGTGTCTTCCTGGCTAAATGTGTGGATGTCACCCAGGGGGTCAATCTACTGGAGAATCCAGACCCGCGTGCACAGAACCAGAGATCATCCCATGAATCCTGCCAGATGTCACCGTCACACTCTTCCTTGGCACTTCATGAAAGGCCACGCATTGCTAAACAGGTAATGGGCAGCAGACTGGGGTCCTGATTTGGTAACAGGAAGTAAAGGCGTGAAAAATTGTCACAGGAAAGATGATGGACCATTCCAGAAATAGTCCATCATCTTTTTGGGGATACCAGGGACTGAACCCAGGGGTGCTTAACCCCTGAGCCCCGTCCCCAGCCCCTTTTTGTAGTTTATTTAGAGACAGGGTCTCGCTGAGTGGCTCAGGGCCTCACTGTTGCYGAGGCTGGCCTCCAACTCATGATCCTCCTCCCTCAGCCTCCTGCTGGGATGACAGGCGTGGGCCACCTCTCCTGGCCAGCCCACTTTAACGGGCTCCTTCAACCTGCTGGATGGGTCTGGTTATCATCCAGATGAGCTTCAAAGTGACCAGTGATTTTTTTTTTAAATTTTAAATTCCTTTGGGATCTCCCTGGGTGGCCATCTCCGTGCGCCTTCCATAAAGTGGAATCGGTCACCGCCTGGTGGTGGGCTGCCTCTGGTCTCGATGGCCACCTCTGGCTGGTACGCGAGGATCCCTGGCCATCTCCGGATCTGCTTGTCCAAGATGAGTGACACTGGGAGCCAGGAAGCTCGGGGACAGTTGTGGGGCCACTCTGCCGTGGCTTCCACTCCTCGTCTTACCCTCCACGAGCTACAGGGTTGTGGGTGGGCTGGTCTCTCTAGCCTTGGGCTCCTCCTCTAGAAACYGGTGACCTCAGGACCTAAATGTCAGAAGATTGTAGTGACTAATAAAGGGGGTGATTTCTTTTTTGGGGGGAGGTACTGGGGATTGAGCCCCAGGGCTCTTCACCCCTGAGCCCCGTCCCCAGCCCTATTTTGCATTTTATTTRGACACAGGGTCTCACTGTTGCTGAGGCTGGCCTCCACCTTGCGGTCCTCCTGCCTCAGCCTCCTGAGCTGCTGGGATGACAGGTGTGGGCCACGGTGCCCGGCTAGGGGGTGACTGACACAAAGGGCTCAGAGTGACGGCCTTGGCTATTTACCATCTCCCTGGGAGGTCTCTGGTCTCTCTCCCAGAGACCTGACCACTGGGCAGAGAGGTGACYGCGTTCTCGGCAGCAAACACTCAGACCTCAGCAGAGCAGAAAGCCACCTCCCAGGCCAGGGCTAAAGAGGAGGGAGGGCTGGATGTCACCAAGGTCCAGAAGAGGGACAGGGTGTAGAAAACTACTACAAGAGACGTTGTCATCACTGTCACCAAACAGAACCCAGCAAGGCTGCGGCCACCTGCGCCTCACCTCCTGCCAACGCTCCTGCCACCCAGGGGCCTGGCGCCTGGGACCCTGGAGTCAGAGGGGCATGAGCAGGAGCTGGGCTGACCGCGTCCTGCTCTGCGGGGACCGTCCAGCCTCTCTGGACGGCTGGAGCAGAGGCGCCCTGTGGCTGAGACAGACAGGGCACAGGGCCCCGCCTGCCCTCGGGGGGTGTGCGTGGGGCCACCCAGGGCTAACGGACCCCTGGCCACCAAGACGCTTGGCCCAGACTCCATCCCCACGTGGAGCTTCCTCACACTCAGGTGGACAGCTACGCAGGGACCAGGGGACTCTTCTAGGAGGAGGAGTGACACGAGCTCAGGCCCTGCCCTCCCACCGCCCCTCCCAACGCCCTTCACGGTGGCCCTTCTGCCTTCTCGGTAGCAGCAAYGGAAGAGGAGGCAGAAACCTTGTCACCACGATGCCCAGAGGTTTTCGTGTGAAAGTGAAAACAATAATTATAAAGCTCACATCGCTGCCGGGTGCAGTGGCCACGCCTAGAATCCCAGCGGTTGGGGAGGCTGAGGCAGGAGGATCGCAAGGTGGAGGCCAGCCTCAGCAACTGATCAAGGCCCTGAGCAACTCAGGGAGACCCTGTCTCTAAATAAAGTACAAAAAGGGCTGGGGACGGGGCTCAGGGGTGGAGGGCCCTTGGGTTCAATCCCTGGCACCAAAATAAATAAATAATAAATAAATGAGATCACAGATCGACTTTTAATGCTCAATTCCACCCAAATTCTCCATGGAAACGTGGGAGCTGGCAGGACACAGCTCACCCCTCTGCCAGCCACCACAGTGCTACTAAGACCCATGGTAGGAGGCACAGGCATCCTGCTGCGTCCCTCTCTCAGCAAGCAGAGGCTCAGGTCTGGGGACACACCCAGCGTGTGTGKGGAACGTGGGTTCACCCCGAACAGGAGCAGGTGCACGGCTTCATGCCCATCTGACTTGGCAATGTCCCCTCACYAGCAGCTCCGCAGAGTGGCCATGGGCTCAGGTACCTTCATACAGAGCCCTGGAAGGTTCCACTGCGAGATGCAAAGGTGCAACTGGAGGAGGCAACGTCAGTGTGACTAGTTTTATCTTTTGCTTGTGGAGACATCGAAKGACCCTCCAGAAATGTCCAGCTGAGTCTGCGAGGAAGCTTCCTGTCCTGGGCTGGCCCTGGGCTTCTATTTCCATTTATTCCTTTCTTTCCCCCCTTGGGTACTGGGGATTGAACCTGGGGTGCTAACCCCTGAGCCCTGTCCCCAGACTTTATTTTATTTAGAGACAGGGTCTCATTGAGTTGCTTAGGGCCTCACAAAGTTGCTGAGGCTGGCCTCCAACTTGCGATCCTCCTGCCTCAGCCTCCCAAGCCACTGGGATGACAGGTGGGCACCCCACCCAGCCTCATCTTCTTTCTGTAGGGGACTTACTTGTTTTCTCCCAAGGCTGGGCTGTATCTGTCCATCACATGAAGAGCCACCTTCTCCATATACGAAGATGGCCCTGGTCCTGGGTGTTTCTCACTTCCCATTTGGAGCTGCTGTGGCCTTGTGACAGTCTAGAGGACCACAGTGCCACTCCCTGGCCATTCTTGCTCACGTGGTCCTGAAGTCCTGAGTTTCCCAGYGGGACTCTGGTACAATGCCATGGAGGGCTGGCAGCTCTGTGATGGGTCCCCCACACCCCACATCGGTCAGAATCCCCGTGTTCAGTCACCCCTGGGATCTCGGCCACTCCTGTCCCATCTGTGAATCTCCAAGTGTTGCTACAGCGACCTTTAAAAGGCAGGATGTACTTTTTTGGGGAGGCAGGAGGTTACTGGGGATTGAACCCAGGGGCCCTCGACCCCTGAGCCCCCTCCCCAGCCCTATTCTGTATTTTATTTAGAGACAGGGTCTCCCTGAGTTGCTTAGGGCCTCGCTGTTGCTGAGGCTGGCCTCCACCTTGAGATCCTCCTGCCTCAGCCTCCCGAGCTGCGGGGATGACAGGCGTGGGCCACCGTGCCTGGCTGAGGCCCTTTTTCTACTTACACCCTCTGATGTTTTCTCCTCCAATTCCCAGTGGAAAGCCAGAATTGTGACAATGGCCTTTGAGGCCCGAGCAACCCCACCTCGTCCACTCCAGCRACAATGTCCCCTCCTCTACGACCAGGCCTCAGGTCCTTCCTGGACTGCTTGTTCCCTGGCCAAGGGCGCTGCCCCTCCTCCACGCCTGTAGGTATGGCCTTTCCTGTCCCCTCCTTCGCCATCGATCTTGTCACATGAACCATTAGGTTCACCTGGTCTTTGGTGACTGGCTCCTTCGACTGACCTGAGGCAGGGGTCCGAGTTATTCTCCTGGTTTCCTTCAGTGGTCAGCAGCCCCGGGAGGCCGCGCAATGCCAGGGGACAATGGCCACCCGAGGATTCCTGTGCGTGGAGCGAGGGCGTTGCTGTCACCGTGAAGCACGAGGCAGGCTGTGGGCTTGGGCTACAGASATCTTTATTATGCATTCTCACTGCCACCGCTGACCGCTGTCCATTTTTAAAATCAAACACAAGATCTGTTARGAAAATCCCCAAGTCCCCACGACCCCTGACTGCAGGGCTGGCTAGCACGGCCTAATGTCCCCTTAGCCCCCGGGGGTGAGATAGGTCACCTGTGTTCCTGGGTCTCGGGYGTTTCTGAGCCCATCCCATAGGCCACCAGTCTGCGGCTCTTTTTGAGGGGCATCTGGTCCGGCTTGTCCTGGGAAGCATCCATCTCTCAGAGCTCGGGGACAGCTCGCGCTGCACATGCCACATACAGGGGCCCATCCTGCCTGTGTGGCTCATTCTCTAGCTTCCTGTTGACATTCTTGAACCCAGGGACCCTCAACTCCTGAGCCCYGTCCCCAGCCCTATTTGGCATTTTATTTAGAGACAGGGTCTGGCTGAGTGGCTCAGGGCCTTGCTCTTACTGAGGCCGGCCTCCACCTTGCGATCCTCCTGCCTCAGCCTCCCAAGCTGCTGAGATGACAGGCGTGTGCCACCTGGCCAGGCTCATTCTCATTTCTGAATGATGGCGACTGCTGTTTTCCTGGAAAATGATCACTTTGTGGTAAGTATTCTCAGTGACCACCATTTAGCTTACGAGAGACGTTGATTTCCGTTCCCCACTGACTGGGCCATTCTTCGGGCTTCCTTTTATCCTTGCTCAATCTGCTGACTAGTGAAGGCGGATGGCCTGGGGGTGCATCCACTAGATTTGTCTTGGCCCCAAATGAAAGTTCTTTCAAGTCGGAAYTTGGTGAGTCACAGAAAAGCATCAAAATCTGGATCTGACTCCTCTTAGAACGGTCCCTTATGTCCTCTTGAAATAGAGGCCGACTCCACTGAACTTTGTGACTTCACAGGAAGCCACCTGTGGCACAGGCTTGGGCCCAGCTCCTGCCACGTCCTCTTTCACGCGCAGGAACACACGCCCCGCGATGGGCAGCTCACCTTCTGAGTGCTTTATGAGGACTTTGCGTGTATTATCTCATTTAATWTSCACTGGAACCTCAGCAGGCGCTTTATCATGACCTTATAGAGAAGTCACCTGCTCAGGAGTGACTACGTGTGACCAGCTTTTGTCTTCCACGTAATTTTCACTCTGCAATTTACACGTTACGCTCAGGAAACAGTAAAGGTTTCCATGGGCCCTGGTTTGTCTGATCTGGGTTCTGCACCGCCCCAGGGACATGGGCTGTGCCTTCAGACCACACCTGGGGGAGCCTGCTTCTGGCATGTCCCACATCTGTCTCTCGCTCCTGTTCTTACTGTGACACAGAAGCCCTGGGCCTCTGTCACCAAGTTCACTGTTCCTTCCGGCACGCGCGTGGAGCCTGCTGTCCCTCCGGGTTCCTGGGCAGTGGGAAGGCAGACGCCCACCTGGAGTCCCCCGTCGGCCGATGTTYCTGTTTCTAAGGGCGTGGAGCCCAGCACCGGGGTGTCCTCGACCGTCAAGGGCGACACCTGGGGCAGCCTGGGACTTCAGATCCCGTCACCCCAAAGCGCACCTTTCCGAGACCCACGTTCCCAGTCTGCCCTTCACGACACTGGCAGCAGGGACGTCCAGCCTGGGAGAAAGGCCAGGTGGGTACGTCCACCCAGGGATGGGACGCCCAGGCACACCACGATGCTAAGGGTGACCCTGACCCAACACTGACCACGGTAGAAGGAACAGAAGAAACTCACTAATGGAGCGAGTCGGTCAGCGGGAGAGGGGCTCCCCGCACTATCCCCTGACTGATGGACGCCCAAGGCTACCAGAGACACCAAGCRGAGGGACACCACAGGCAGGCCCAGCGGGCTCCCACCAGTGGGCGGTCTGAGGAGCCAGAGAGGGTTCACGTCTCACGGCGCAGCACCAACCCCTGCCCGGGCTCCTGGGAGGTGACCTGCGGGTCCTTGGGGGTGTCGGCCTGGTGAGAGCACCTCTGTACCCAGGCGGGTGGCTGACGCTGACCGTGTGACAAACAGCGGAAGCCTCAGGTCACGCAGCACCAGATSAGCCTTTGGAGTGGCTGGACACGCAGGCCCAGCTGCCCCTGGCCAGCAGAGCGTCTGTGTGGTCATGGGTGGGAAAGCCTGCAATTGTCCCCACCAGCGCAGTATGCTTGGGACACAAGGACACTGGAGTGGGGGGGTGGGCGGTAATGTCTGTTGTCAAGTCGGGACTGTGGCAAGAGAAGTCCCTGACAGATGCACTAGGACTGTGGAACAGGCTGACAGCAGAGGAGGCTGGGCAGCGCACGACRTGGGGACACAGAGGACTGCCACCAAGGCCCCAGGTTTTCTTGTTTGAAATTATAGCAAACGGCCAGGCATGGTGGGATACACCGGTCATCCCAGTGACTGGGAGGCTGAGGCAGGAGGATCGCACGTTCGAGGCCAGCCTCCGCAACTCAGTGAGGCCCCTGAGCAGCTTAGGGAGACCCTGCCTCAAAAGAGACGATCAAAGGGGTCTGGGTGGCAGAGCCCCCGGGTGGGTGCCCAGCACCACAAAAACAAAACCCAAACAGAACACACCGAGGCGGGTCTTATAGGAAAACCAAACACGACCCACATGTCCCCGGTCCAGTGAGCGCACCTCAAGAGTGGGGATGGGGACGCTGCTCTGCACAGAGGTCACCCAGGTCTCAGTGAAGAGCTGACAGCCATCCCCAGAGTGCAGGGGGCCGCCTGATGTCACACAGGCTGCTCTCGACCCAGCAGGGCCACCAGGGCCACCCCCTGTGAAGTCTCCCCAACGCTGTCGACACACAGAACCCACCGACGAGGTCCCCAGGTAACAGGAAACCCACACTCCACCAGGAACCCGCCCAGCGGCACCTCGGTGACGCCCTCAGCAGAAGCCACACCAGTTCAGGGACAGTCCCCAGGCCACCTGCTCGGGAGGAGGGAGAGGCAGAACCTGCGGCCGGGACAGTCGCATCCCCCCAAAGGAGCACTGGGCCTCGTGTGGGTTCAGAACCACGACATCAGTGACAAGTCTAGTCTGGATCCTTGCGGGACTCGACACTGAAGACCTACTGTGTGACAACGYGTGACAACGTGTGACTGCGATTCTGCCCATGTCCTTATTTCTTAAGGGTGACGTGAACGTTCATGAGCACACTCTAAGGTCACCTAAGGGACTGGCCACCATCCACCTGCCTGTCTGCAGTCTCTCCCCCTCAAGTTCACGGTCACTGACATAAGCTCTGCCTGGCGCCTGGGGGTCCCTTCTACAGACCCCCCCCTTCCTTGCCTGCTCTCCATGCGCTGTCCACGGCACTGCATGACCCGTGATGGTGTCCCTTCCCAAAGCCCAGTGAGCAGTGACTGTGTGACACTCGCTACACGGAACGTCCTCTTTAAGAAGCCCTTGAGCAGAAACTAGGGTTCGTTCGTTTGTTTGGGGGACCAGGGATTGAACCCAGGGGCTCGACCCCTGAACCCCGTCCCCACCCGTGTTTTGCGTTTTATTTAGAGACAGGGTCTCCCTGAGTTGTTTTAGAGCTTTGCTGTTGCTGAGGCTGGCCTCCACCTTGCCATCCTCCCGCCTCAGCCTCCCGAGCTGCTGGGCTGACAGACGGCACCAGCGCACCCAGAAGTTACTCTTACTAAGCTACGATGTGACTGTAAATAGGACAAGAGGACACTGCAGCCCAGCCCTAGGGTTGTCACCCTGCCCAGGTTGGGGACGTGAGGCTGCTTGGTGCTCTTGTGACACCTGGCCAGTCTGCAGCCGCCTGGGGAACGGACACGGTGGGGACCCCGACGTTGTAACCGGGGGGAGTACAGGGCGCGTCCACCTGCTGGGTCCCGAGGCTGCTGCTGCCCTGTCCCCTGGAGTCTGCATGCGTAAAGGCGAGGAGTTGGCCAAGGGTGTTCCGCACAGAGCGCGGTTCTGCGTGCCCTGGGCTGYGACGGGGACCCGCCCGCCCAGCGCCAGCGCCCTGGCCTCACCTGCACGGCGGGCCGCTCCTTCCTTTTTTTTCTGGGCTAGCTGCACGGCCCGGGAATCAGTTCTTGCTGAGCCCCCACTTTCCTGGGACCAAAGAAAAGGGTGTCAGTCACTCGATCTCCGCAGCGCAGGAGGGTGGGCAAGGGACCGAGGAACGCCCTGAGCCTGACTCTGGGACTCCCTAGAGCCCAGCAGTCACTTCCAATGTCCAGCTGAGGCGGAGACACAAGCCTGTCACCCGGGGAAGCCAACGTGGTGGCCTTGGAGCGGAGAACACACTGGAGATGGCTTCCAGGTGGCTCTAAGGTGGGCTGTGGACTGCCTTCCTTGTGCTTTGGTGGGCCCCAAGGGGGCACAGTGGGCCTGGGGCAGCGCTGTCCCCTCCTCACTGTGGACCCTGCTCTGTCCCAACAGAAGACGGCTGTCACCTGGGACTCTCGCGACTACAGAGGGGGAAGGCGGGCCTCTGCAGCAAAGATCATACCTGGGGCCCAGTCACCACACACCATTTGTACTCAGGGACACGAGGGAGCCCAACGTCACACAGCTAGCGAGAGAATGAACAAGGGTTAGGACCGCGTCTGGCGCTCCTCCGCCTCACCCCACCGTGGCTCTGCTGTGCAGCCACCTCCCCCTGCCCACTGTCACCAGTCGCTCTGCGACCGCTATGGCAGTGCCTCGGCCACCCAAGAGCAGGACAGCAGAGACACCAAGGGTCCTCCACGGTCCTCGTGCTCTAAGACATCAAAGTGGGCCCAGGGAGCATCTGGGGCCCTGAGCCTGCTTCAGAAGAGGGGACGGGTCAAGTGGGCATTCGGAATAGCAGGAATGTCACCATGTAATTCAACCTGTGCCTTCCAGAAAAATCTGCGGTGGCTACAGTGGACGCTGAGGAAAGCAGACTCTCCCAAGAACCTTTAATTAAGTTACTTTAAGTTAGATGAAGTGGAGAGGGATATAAATAGAATCAGACTCGACCGTCCAGCCTGGCCCTGGGCCACTGTCCCCCTGGGAACCCGGCCCCACACACTGTCCCCCGCACTTCTTCTTCAATCTACTTAGGAAAAATATCTGGGCCTCTTTTAAAATTCCCACGACCTTTCACCCCACACCCCGCTGTGCCCCTGCCCATCTGTCACTACGTGAAAAGCACAAAGGCCACACATCCCAACGCGAGGAGCAGCCCCGGGTTTTTTCAAGAAACACAAACACAGGTGACAGGATCCCCGCAGTCAGAGGCCTAGGGACAGCCAGCCGCATCCCCGGATTGAGGAACCACCAAGATTTAAGGCTCAGAGAGGGCAAGGGATTTGCTCGGGGCTGCCAGGACTCGCAGTTCCAGCCTCAGGTCAAGGGGCACATTCAGTYTGTCCCCCAGGGCTGYGTCCTTCTGCAAACCAGTAAGAGACGTCTGCATAGAAGGGACCGGTCCAGGACGTCCTCGCCACCCAGGTGAGGGACGGCCATGTGGCGATGGACGGTGTGCTTCATACCAGGTAGAGGCCGCCGGGGCCGGCAGCGGGCTCTGTGTCCCGGGCACTGTGCTGCTCTGGGGGGCTGCAGGACGCGGGCGGGGGTGGCACATGGTCTGCCTGCTGTGGGGCCACAGGCGGGTCCCTCTCCACCTTGGCGGGGGCTGGTGGCTCGGAGGCGCTGGTGCAGGCCGCGGTGGTGGCGTGTGCTGCTAAGTTGCCACTGGAGGACAAAGCCCCCGGGTCCTGGCCCACGGGCAGGGCCACCAGGCAGCCCACGGGTCCCGTGGTCACCGCGTGCACGTCCTCCACGCTGAAGCTGCCTGGCGGGAGCACTGTGGCCGCTGTCCCCAGGATGAGGGGGCTCTCCAGACTTGGAGGAAGGTCACTGTGGGCCACCAGGACCAGGGGATCCATGGGCCCCAAGGAGCTGCTGTTGGCTGGCAGGGTCCCTCCCAGGGACGAGCTCACGGAGGTGACGTCGATGGTGAGGATTCCAGAACTCAGGGCCTCCTCCGACCCCGCGGCTGCGGCACCTCCGCTGGCAGGTGGCTCCGAGAAGAGGGCGGCCAGGTCCAGGCTGCTGAGCTCGCTCTGCCCGGGGCCACTCAGCTCGCTGCTGGGGGTGAGCGAACTTGGCGCCTCCAGGGGAGGGACCAGGTCTGCAAGAGGAAGGGACACCCGTCACGCAGGGCCAGGGGACGGACACCCCCGTTACGTGGGATCTCAGGAGACAGGATCTTGGTCAGGCTTAAACTGACGGCCAGAGACCCTCCTGGCCACGTCTGCTACCCTCTGGAGCTGCGGCCTGGTGATGGCCAACAAGGGTCCACTGAAGCCAGGACACAGAGAGGACACCAAGGGAAGGGGTGGCCTGGACATGTCGGGCCCTTCTCACACACACRCCTCAATTGTCAGGCTGAGAAGGGTCTCTTTTTCTTTTCTTGGTACCAGGGACTGAACCCAGGGTCCCTTGACCACTGGCCCTGTCCCTGTCCCTATYTGGTCTTYTATTTAGACACAGAGTCTCCCTGAGTTGCTTAGGGCCTCACTGTTGCTGAGGCTGGCCTCCAACTTGGGATCCTCCTGCCTCAGCCTCCAGGCATGGACCCCAGTACCTGGCTTAAAAAGGATTTCCCTAGAACACATGACAGGACGTTGTGCGTATGATCTCCCACAGTCCYGAAGTAACAAGACCAGGGGAAGGTTCCTGAAAACCGCCCTTTCTCCTGCACCACGGGGGCCACCTGAGTGGACCGCGAGCCTCCCCCTGGCAGAGTCTTCAGAAGTCAGTCAGGAGAGAGGCTCTGGCTCTGGGGACATTTTTGGAGTCAGGTTATGTCAGCTCATGTCTTGTCAAAGCGTGTCCCCTTCTACCACGTCACCCCCAACTCAGCGGGGGCCACCTGGAGGTCAACATGGGGAGTAAAGGTGGGGCCAGGCCTGGCTCCAGGATCCAAGCTGCAGCCCCACCCCTGAGACCTGTCCCTCTGTCTGGGACTCGGTGTCCCACCTCCCTCCCTGCCTGCCCGTCCCACTTCCAGCCCTAACCTGGGGCGCGATTGCTCCTGTCTCCTGCACCCAGCACCCAGCTCCCTGGCCCCYGTCACCTAACACTCACACAGAAATGACCCTCGTGGACCCTCTTGCCYGAGGTCTCCACTTTGGGTCCCTGCTCTCCCACGCACTCGCCTGCCCAGTGTTCGACTCAGTAACTTAAACAACCAGCAAACCCTTGGAGCCAAATAGTGACATCAACGTAGTCCAACAACCTCCGACGATGGCCGAGTGGAGGTGCCCACCACACACCGACTTTCCTCTTCCTCTGGTTCTAGGGGTGGACCAAGGGGGACTGAGCCACCGAGCCCCAGCCCAGCCCGTCTCTGTTCTACTCTGATGCACCGTGGCGCCCCACTGCTGAGGCCGGCCTCGAACCTGCAGGCCTCCTGCCTCGGCCTCCTGCCTCGGCCTCCTGAGTGGCTGGGACATGGCCTAATTCCCCATGGAGCCAGCAACCCCGTCCTGAAGACACCCCAGAGCTAGAAGGGACACCTCTTTATGCAAGGGCCTGGAAAGGCCACGGGGATGACCACCAAAGGTGGAGGTGTCTGGGGCGGGGACACACAGCCACCTGAACACAGGCTGACAGAGCCAGAGGACAGACGGACACTTACTAAGCCCGGCTGCAGGCGAATCCTGCACTAGACTCTGACAACACATGACCATGAGAGCTACGCAGACTTCGTCCTGGAGTTAAAAGTGACAGACTCAGGTGGCAAAGGGCCCCTCCGCAGCAGTTCCCAAGAGGCTCTGCCCACAGCGGGAGCTGTGTCCGGGAGGGTGCTGCCTGCCACCCAGGACAGTGGTGCTGGGGCACTGGCTAGTAACACACGGCCCAGCCTCCAYGGGCCAGGAGCAGAGGCAAACTGTGGTGAGTCAGGACCTCTCCACCAGGCCCTGTCAAGGTCCCCTCCGCGTGGTGGCCCACACCTGTCATCCTAGCAGCTCAGGARGCTGAGGCAGGAGGATCACAAGTGGGAGGCCAGCCTCAGCCACTTTGTGAGGCCCTGAGCAACTCAGGGAGACCCTGTCTCTAAATAAAATGTAAAATAGGGCTGGGGAGGGGGCTCAGGGGTCGAGGGCCCCTGGGGTCAATCCCTGGGGTCCACGGCTTCTGACTTCACGACCTAGCCACAAGCAGCCTGGCTCTGTCCCCCGGGGTCAGGCACACATCTTGGTGGCACCCTGAGGGACAGGGAGGTGCAGACCTTGGCGCCGGCTGTGCTGCCGCACCACGTGCGCCTTCATGCTGTGCTTGGAGGTGAAGAGTCTGTTGCAGCTGGACACCGGGCAGCGGCTTTTGGGAGCACCCACGTCCTGGAGGTGCTTCTTGGAGTGAATGTAGAGACTGCTGCGAGCGGAGAACCTGGCACAGCACCCTGGAACAGAGGACGGGGAGAGTCACACCTGAAGATGACGAGGAACCAGCACACCCCTGTCAGGGCAGGGCCACGAGGCCCAGCTTTTAAGCACCGGTGCCTCGAAGGGATGCACGCGGAGTGTCCCCAGGACAGCACCACAGGAAGGAAGATCCACAACAAGCTGCTTGCCAGGCACGGTGGCCCACGCCTGTCACCCCAGCAGCTCGGGAGGCTGAGATGGGAGGATCCCAAGTTGGAGGCCAGCCTCAACCACTCAGGGAGGCCCTAAGCAACTCGGTGAGACCCCATCTCTAAATAAAATACCCGATACAGCTGGGACTGGGCTCAGGGGTTAAAGGCCCCTGGGTTCGATCCCTGGGACCAAAACAACCCGAAACAATGGAGCAAGGTGCTCAGAGGAGACCAGAGAGACCAGGAACCCCGAAGCCCTGCCCCAGCCACGTCTCTGGCCTGTGACCTGCCCGAGCTGGCCCTGCGCCCTTCCGTCCCTCCCAGGGTTGCTAAGAAGGTGGAGTCTGGTCAACTTGGTCKCACTTGACAGAGTTAAAGCTGCCTATCCCAGATCGCACAGCGACTCACGGGGCAGAGTCGGGACTTGGATTCACGCAGACTGGACTCCAGAAGTTGTATATTTTTGGGGGGTGCCAGGGGTTGAACTCGGGGCCCTCGACCCGTGAGCCCCGTCCCCAGCCCTGTTTTGCATTTGATTCAGAGACAGGGTCTCACTGAGTTGCTTAGTGACTTGCTGAGTGGCTGAGGCTGGCCTCCCACTTGCAATCCTCCTGCCTCAGCCTCCTGAGCTGCTGGGATGAGAGGCACACACCACCACGTCCAGCTCAGAATTCATATTTCTCATCACTGCCTTGACCGCCTCCTGATTGACACCTGCCACCCCAGCAGCATGACAAGGACCCATGAGCCCACGCAGCCTGGCCACTCCACTTGTACTGTGTCCACCACATTCTAAGAGCTGGTCTCAGCTCTGAGCGGTCTCTGCCCTCTCTTTCCCCTTCTCCAGACTGAAAAGGCAAAGCCCAGAGAAGCAGCCCAGGCCACCCATTTGGGGACCTCCAGGCCTGCCCTGGTCTGCTGCTCCCTAGTGCCTCTGCGGCCCCAGCGTGGGCCAGCTCGGCGGGCCACACAACAGGTTTCTGTCAGGTGAACCCTGTCCCCGGCACCTTAAAGCAACCCATGGGGCTGGGGATGTGGCTCAAGTGGCAGCGCGCCTTTGAGACAGGGTCTATGCTAAGTTGCARAGGCTGGCCTTGAACTTGTGATCCTCCTGTCTCAGCCTCCTGAGTCACTGAGATCACACGTGTGGTCACTGCGCTCGGCTTACTAACAGCCCTTTCAAAAAGTCAGCCTAGGCCAGGCACAGTGGTGCACGCCTGTCATCCCAGCAACTTGGGAGGCTGAGACAGGAGGACTGCAAGTTGGAGGCCAGCCTCAGCAACTTAGCAAGACCCCGTCTCAAAATAAAAGGCGGGGGGGGGAGTGCACTGGGGACAGGGCTCAGTGGTTAAACTCCCCTGGGTTTAATTTTTGGTACCTAAAAAAAACAACAAAAAGTGAGTTTAGGCAGGCACASTGGTGCACACCTGTCATCCCAGCAGCTGGGGAGGCTGAGGCAGGAGGATCGTGAGTTCAAAGCCAGCCTCAGCAAAAGCAAGGCCCTGAGCAACTCAGGGAGACCCTGTCTCTAAATAAAACGCAAAATAGGGCTGGGGACGGGGCTCAGGGGTCCAGGGCCCTGGGTTCAATTCCTAGGACCAAAAAAATAAATAAACCTGAGCTGAGCTTGGCCACCTTCCAACTGCCCCAAGATAGTGAGTTACCACTCAGAGCCACCGACTGAGCGGGTGGCAGGGCTGGAGGCGAACAGACGGGAACCCTGGTCTGGGCCTCCTTCTGACGCTGCTCCCCAGACGGGCTAGGTAAACCCCAGACTGCCACCTGCACTCACCTGGCCTTCCCCTACCTGAGGCTCAGCTCACCCACGGGATCTAGTGCCCGAGGTGGCCTGGCGCTTCATTAGAGCTGGGAGTAGTGTGACACGCTACCTTCCACGGGGCACTCGAAGGGCTTGGTGCCCAGGTGGGTGATGCTGTGCCCTTTCAGGTGCTCTGCGCGGGTGAAGGACTTGCCGCAGCCTTCCACGGGGCAGGTGAACCTCCGGTCATCGTCGTGTTTCCTGCAGGGACAGGAAGAGAAGCAGCAGCTGTGAGCCCAGAGGCAATTCCCTGCTTAAATTCTGCAAAATTACATCAAACCATGAGCTCTCTTCACTTGGAAAAAACRGTCAGTACAGCTCAGAAAACCTCGGCCATCTCTGACCATGTGTGGCTTGCTGCCTGGCTGCCCCTGAGTCCCAGACAGGACAGTCAGTGTCGCTTCTAGGAGCAGCAGAGTCCCACTGTTTAGAAATCCCTGTCACCAAGCCATAGAGACAGCAGAGATGGGCACGGGGCTCAGGCTGCAAGCTGGAGGGTCCCGTGTCCCTTCCTAAGGATCACTCTTCCATCAAACCCCAGGGCCCAGCTGTGCAAGCCCAGGCATGACATCAGGGACAGAGACAGCAGGGTCAGCGCTGTCATGAAAATGGAATGTGACACCCGTGTAAAGGGACGAGCATCCCTGGGACACAGGCCCTACGGGTGTCAAACTTATCCTTCRGTGTCCAAAAACACAAAAAATGTCATTGTATGTAAAGGATGACAATAAAGAACACTTAGGAAACCTGTCTCCAGGGGATGAGACTCTCAACAATTTTCTTCACAGTTTTCCAATTTTCAAAAATCCCTACACRCTCGCTTTTTGTTTTGGTTTCAGGGATTGAACTCAGGGACTCTCGGCCACTGAGCCCYCAGTCCCCAGCCATATTCTGTATTCTATTTAGAGACAGGGTCTCTCCCTGAGCTGCTGAGCACATTGCTGTTGCTGAGGCTGGCCTCCGACTCACGATCCTCCTGCCTCAGCCTCCTGAGCCRCTGGAATYGTACGCATGCGCTACCGGGCCCGGCTCCTACATATTTTTTTTTTTTTTTTAAAAAAAACAGCTCATCCGCTTTCAGAGCTGCCAGCCCCCGCAGTCAGGCGGCCTACCTTTTATGCCTCAGGAGTTTGGACATACTGGTGAAGGTCCAGCCGCAACTGTCCGAGTCACATATAAATGGCCTTTCACCTTGTCAAAGAAAACAAAAATTGCAAAGCAGGGTCATGCATCCAAAGGCTCTCAGAGGGGACTGTCGCCCCAGCACCCGTGGGSCGCCTGCTCCTACCTGTGTGGCTTCTCAGGTGGATCTTGAGGCGGCAGGCCTTGTCGTACTGCTTGCTGCACCCGGGGAAGGAGCAGGGGAAGAGCTCCTGCTCCCTGAAGTGCGCGCGGCTGTGGGAGAAGAGGGCGCTCACGGTGATGAAGGTCTTCTCGCAGCCTGCACAGAGAAACAGCCCGCTCTGGCCCGGGACCCAGCGCACGGACGCTGCCCACAGCCTGGACGCTGGCCTCAGCCCGGGACACTACCCCCAGCGTGGATGCTGGCCTCCACTCGGGACATTGCCCACAGCCCGGGATGCTGGCCACAGCCCAGGACATGGCCATGCTGAGCAGACAGGGAGATGGTGACTCAAAAGCCATTTCTAGAGTCCTGACTGTGATCGGGGACATGTGGCCTCGTGACGGCTACAGAAGGGATGGCGACGGCGGCCACTTGCTGCACTGTAACTTGGATAGGGGCAACTAACTGACCACRGGCCCTATGGTCACAGCCATCAGAGGCCAGTCTGTCGCGCTGATCTGCAGGCAAGAGTCCTGCCCTCCACGGGCTCAAGTGCCACTGCTGGTCCCCAAGAAAACCCCAGGAAAATTAAGYGCCAGTGGACGTGTCCTGCCTGCCTGCCCACAGGCTCGGCTTCCTGGGCCTCCACACTTGGGGTTCCTCTGACAGTCCCCCTTCCCCATCTCCGTGTCCCTTCCCGTTCCTCAGGTTCCTGCTCGGTTGCCTTCGTCCCCACTCCACCCTCAGTGCCTGGCGGCCTCGCCAGCCCCAGGGGCTGCCCTTGGCCATCGCTGGCCTCCCCAGCCATGTCTGACAACCAAGCTGGGCTGCTGGACGCTGGGCGGGTGCCCTGTGGAGGTACCTGTTGCCCTTCCTGAGCCGCGCAAGGTGTGGGAGCGAGGGTAGGTGGCACCGCAGCGCCCTGAGCAAGGCCGCCCGGGGACCTCTTTCTAGCTTCCTATACCTGGGCAGTGGGGACCTTCCTAAGTCTCGGTGTCCCCTCCATCGCACCCTCCAGTGTGCTGGGGTGCATTCCCTCAACACTGCTACCTGGGGTCCCTGCCATCGCCCTGGCTCAGGCTACGGAAAGACTCCTGGGGCACCTGATGGGCCTGCGCTGAGTGCTCTCTGCGCCTACCAAGCCCCAGTGARGAGCCAGCGCAACCCTGGGGTCCTTGGCCTTGACCTGCATCCCTGAACCACAGGACGAAGCTCTTGTCACAGCAGGGTCACAGCCACCGCCAGCTTTGCAGAGCTGATCCGAGGGCTGGGCCGGGGCTCAGMGGTGGAGCGCTCGCCTCGCACACGCAAGGCCCTGGGTTCGAACCTCRGCACCMCACAAAAAGAAAGGAGATGGAGGCGCTRCGTGGAGCTACGGCTAAAAATAAATATTAAAAAATAAAAAAAGATTTCCAGCYGGTGGGATAAGGGTCTCCAAAACAGGGCGCCCCAGGTCCTGGGGACAAAGTGGCACTCTAAAGATACCCGAGTCCTAACACACTTTATACCGCATGCATTCCTAGGTCCGTGGGGTCTGTGCTCATGACTCACGCGCCAGGCACTGGCTCAGGTTATGATTGAATGAATGGGATGGGAAACGTCCTGTGGCCACTACCTGGTGATCCCACAGCTGCCACGGTCACCACCCCCCACCCAGGCTCTGAACACAGGTAGACCCTGCTTCCCTCCAGCCCACTCCTTTCCCACACYCCTGTCCTCTGGACCAAGAGTGGTCTCCTGCCTACGCTGGCTCAGAGGTCACACTGTGTGGGTGTCTTAGCATTTCCAGGGGTTGTCGGTCCCCACGGTGGAGGAGAAAACCTGCAGGGGACATCACCCTAGAAACCTGCATCCTCATCTGCAAGAGGAGGAAACCTCTTATCCTTCACAAAGTGCTGAATTGCAGTGAAAAGAATGTCAAAGTCCGAAAGGCACAAGAAATGGGACTCGCCAGACACCTGCAGCAGGTGACTCCCTCGTGCAATAAAGTGCGGTCCCTGGCCTTGTTCACCTGTTCCTCCAGAACACCACGGCACCCGTCCATGTTTCTAAACAACACACCTAAACCAAATAAAGCTCTGACTGATAACGAAACCCCAAGACACGTCATCACTCTCACTAAAGGAAGCCTCCTCCCCAGACGGCCGAGATGACAGGGCGCTACCTGGCTGCAGCAATCCCGCAGCAGGGCAGGGTTAAGATTCCCAATGGAACGAGGCCCCAGGAGAGCGCACGCCTGTCATCCCAGCAGCGGGGAGGCTGGGRCAGGAGGATCGCGAGTTGGAGGCCAGCCTCGACCACTGAGCAAGATCCTGTCTCTAAAGGGCTGGGTGTGGGTCCGTGGTCAGCACCCCTGGTGCTTTTGAAAAGAAAAACCTTCCAATGCAACCCCAGCGAAGGGTCTCCCCCCGCCGGCCACCCCCCCCCCCAGCGGCGGGTCCCGCGGTTACCGGGAAAGTCGCACTTGTAGGGCCGCTCGGGCTCGAAGTGGCTGCGCTGGTGCGAGCTGAGCTTGGCGTGCGTGGGGAAGCGCTCGGCGCACACCTCGCACTTGAAGAGGCTCTCCTGCTCGTGGCCGCGCATGTGCGCCTTGAGGTTGTACACGGTGGTGAACTTCTTGCCGCAGCCGCCCACGGGGCAGCCGAACGGGCGCAGCTTGTCGTGCGATTGCAGGTGTCGCTTGAGCTTGTAGGAGGTGGTGAAGGCCCAGCCGCAGCCGTCCAGCGGGCACTTGAAGGGCCGGCGCGCCTGGGGGCCGCCGTGCGTCAGCAGGTGCACCTGCAGCTGCTGCTTCTTGGCGAAGGCCAGCGCGCACTGCGGCTCGGGGCAGCGGTAGCCCGTGGGCGCGCGGCGGCCGGCGGCGGCGGGGCCCGGGGGCGCGGGCGGGCGCGGCGCGGGCGGTCCCGGCGCGGGCGGCGGCGGCGCCAGCGTGAAGACGCCGCGATCGAGACGCACGAGCAGGTCCCGGCGGTCGAGGGCGACGGCGCCGGCGAGGGCCGCGCCGGGAGCGGCGGCCGGGCCGGCGCCAGGGCCCGGCGGCTCGGGGCGGCCGGCGGGGCTCGCGCCCGGGCTGGGCTCGGCTTCCCGCCTTCCCGGGGCCTCGGCGGCGGCGCCGCGCGCCACCTCCAGCAGCACCACGAAGGCGTCGCCGCCGTCCTCGGGGGGCGGCGGGCTGGGCCCCGGGGCCTCCTCACGCCGCGGCTCGGGCCCGCCATCTTCCGGGCCCCGCAGCAGCAGCAGGCGGCGGCGGCCCGGGCCCGCGCTCAGGGGCGGCCCCGGGCCGCGGCGTAGCCGACCGGGGCCGCCGCCGCCATGTTGGCCTCCGCGCGCGGCCGGGGCGGCGAGCAGGGCTGGGAGGTCCATCTTGGGCCCAGCAGCGGCGTCGGTGCCGCCGCCTCGCAGGAAGAGCGGTCCGCCCCTCCCGGGCATGCGCGCGACGCCGAGTGGCCGCCGCCAGAAGAGGTCGCCACCAAGGCCCGGCGCGGAGCACGGCCTGGAGTCCAGCTCCGAGCCGCGCGTGCGCCACAGCGAGCAGGGGGGCGTGCCGCGCGGGGGCTGCTGGGCMGTCGTGACGTGCGCGGCGTCTTGGGGCGGGGCCGGGGGGTGAGGGCGGGGCGCCGAGTGGTGAGGCCTTGCGCGTGGCGCCGGGGTCCGGAGTGGGGATGCCGTGGGGCCTTGCGCGCCACGCCGATGGGCGGGGCCGTGGTGTTGTGGGCGGGGCGCCGAGTGCCTGTTCCGTGGGGCTGTGCGAGCGACGCCGGGGGCGGGGCCTWGGCCGTGGAGCTGTGGGTGAGGCGCCGAGGGGCGGTGCCGTGAGGCCGTGCGCGCGGCCTCGAGGGGCGGGACCGTGGCGTTGTGGGCGGGGCCGTGGGCGGGGCTCCTTGGAGCGGAGCCGGGGCGTCCCTTTGCTCGCTGGGCTCTGATCCATTGGAGGGCGGAGGTTTTGGGTCTGGTTAGCGCAGGCCAAGGGATTAAATCGGACGCTTCGTCTGGAAGCGTTTACTGGGCTTTGTGACTGTGAGCTGATTCATCTTCACMCTCGCACGTACGAAGGAACAGGCACAGAGAGACTGAGTGTCTTGCCTGAGGTCACACAGCCAGGAACCGGCAGTCTGAATGTACAGCTGTCCACCCGGCTGGACAGCTTCCTCAGGAGCGCGCTGAAGCTCATTCCAACCTCYCCACCCCCGGCCCCCAGACCTTCCTTGCACTGCCCGAGAGCCTTTCCTGGCCCGCAGGGCCTCCCTGATGGGAGTCTGCTTAGGTGGCCAACTGTATAAGTCGACACAGCCTCAGGTTGCAAAATCTTAAGTTGCACATCCTCCCTGGCCACCCTGTCCCTCTCCTCCGTCTCCTACCGCTCTTCTCTGGATTCCATCCAAATTCGCAGTGACCAGCACTGAAATCCAAACTCAAAAAAGTAACGGAGTAGCTGGCCTTCAGCCTCCCCTCCCCCGACTGCCTCCCACCGCACCTGTTGGACACAGGGCTCCGATTCCCACCCAACTCCTGCATTCGTCACTCCCACCACTACAGAACCCCACTGCCCCGCTCCCCACTCCCTTCTTTCCAGTTTTTCCAACAGGCCCACCTGGTCCCTGCCTCAGAGACTCGGTGGCGGTTCCTTGGATCCTCCTGGGAGGCTGTGCTAAAGTTCTGATCCAAAGTCCCAACTTTACCCAGCCCCCCCCCCACTTTCCTTCCTTTGACACCCCTCTATCATGCAGTTGTTTTCTGGGTCCCTCTCTCTGCTCCTTCACCGTCTGTATCTCCTACTCTGAAATGAAGGAGTGGAGCCTGGTGCCGGTGGTGGGCAGATCTGTTGTAACCCCAGCTCCGGAGGCCGTGGCAGGAGGATCACAAGTTGGAGGCCAGCCTCCTCAGCAACTTAGCAAGGGGGCCTAAGCAACTCAGCGAGACCTTGTCTCTAAGTAAAATATATTTAAAAAARGGGGGGGGGCTGGGGATGGGGCTCAGTGGTTAAGTACCCTGGGGTCAATCTCTAGTACCAAAAAAAAAAAAAAAGGAAATTTTCTGGAAAGATACACCAAGTGCTTCTAGGGTGACACCTTCTGAAGTGGGGTGGAGACAGGCACGTGTATTTAACATACTTTTTATGATTAAAAATATTTTTCTTCTCTGGGAAACGCTGTGGTAGTTCCTTGGAAAAATTAAGCATTAAAATCACCGCGGGCTTCTGCATGTATCCACCCAAAGAATTTAAAGTAGAGGCTGGAACAGATATTGATATTGATACATCRATATACTGCGACATCGCGTTCCCTGGGGAAGTATTATCGGCAGGAGATTCTCAGATCCTGGAGGCTCCAGTAAGAGTCAGGGGAATTTTTRTGGGTTTTTAGGCAGAGGTGTGACATTTTATAGTGATTTCCCTGAAGGCAGAGWCTCCAGGATATGGTGGGAATGGAGGCAGGGAGGCTGGATAAGAGGCTCCTGCTAGAATCTAATCAATACCTGACCTCATTAGTGAACAGAGGAACTCAAACAGTAGAGGCCAGCTCTGCCCGGATTGCAGGCTCACGGAGTGGACAGTCTCCTCTGCCATCTGCCATCTGGCCAGAGTCCCCCAGCAGCTCGGGAGGCTGAGGCAGGAGGATCGCAAGTAGGAGGCCAGCCTCAGCAACTGAGTGAAGCCCTCAGCCACTCAGGGAGACCCTGCCTCTAAATAAAATAGAAAATAGGGCTGGGGACGGGGCTCAGGGGTGAAGCACCCCGGGTTCTATCCCTGGTGCAAACACACCTGGAAATGGAAGGGGTGCAGAGTTCACCCCAGGGACCACACATGGGTCCCCGGCAGAGCTCTCCAGGGCCGGGTGAACCCCGGGGAGGACCCTCCCTGTCCTTTACACCCCAGACACCGGTCCATTTCCCTTGCGGGTCACTCTGCTGCTGGGTCCCCCGAGCCCATGATGTCAGGTGCACACCGTTCTCTGTCTTTTCCTTTATTTCCTGTCCTTCTCCCGAGGCTCCACCTGTGTGTCCCCAAGCCTGGGGCACCGAGGGCTGGACAGACAGACGGGAGGAGAATAATGGGGGGGGGGGTGGCAGAGTCAGATGACACAATCAGCCAGAGAAACCTCCAGGGGCCTTCGAAGGAGCTGGTTGGTGACCAGCTTGGCCAGGGTTCACGGTTGGGGACGCCCCACGCTGGTGTCCGTTCCGTAACCCTGTCCTCCCCCCCCCCCCGGGCTCCCAGCCAAGCTGTGTGGTCATGGCCAAGTGGCTTCACCTCTCTGGGCCTGGACGGGTTCGTCTGTGTGATGAAGTGGCCRTGGTCCCCCAGTCCAGGACACTAGAGGGTGACAGGAGCCCTGTGGCCCAGAGGGGACTGTGCAGGGGGGACCCGGCGCTGGGGCTGGGAGGTGGGGACAGGCCGAGGAAGGCTGCTGGGTGTCGCCCTCAGGGCCGCAGGGCCAGCTGCAGGAGGCCCTCCTCTGCCACCGGATGGGGCAGCGTCACCTCCAAGCCCTCACCGTCCCGCATCGTCTGGCAGATGATCTCATAGGCCTTGGGGTTCCCCGACCAGCAGCGCCGCGCCACCTGCAGCAAGGGGAGGTGGCAGGGGACAGTCGGGGCAGGTGACCCGTGGTGGGGCCGCAGGGGCCTGGCTCAAAGGCAGTAAAACGCTGATCCTCTGGGACGAGCCCCCCTCCTCCAGCCTGTTGCCAAGGTCACCTCCCCCTCTCCTTCCTG